CAAAAATCAGTTGGTTAGCCGGGGTTGTGTCTGCGTGGTCAATCAGAGTGTAATGCTTGAAAAGAATGAAACTTTAGCATCTTTTTCTCCATATTCTGAAGATGTTTTACAGATTTCAAGTGTTATCATCTCTATCTTGCAATCAAATCCCAGATGAAATCATCAAATCCTGATCTGTTACATCTTATCTTCTTCCATCCCTCTAGAGACAAATTACAGACTTAACTGGATTTACAATTCAGTGTCAATGGTGGTAATCATGATCTTATTACGCTCCAAAGGTCAGAAAGTAAAGGCGTGTGCAATAATAATAGACTATGTTTTTGGGAAGTGAGTGAGTGGTTTTATGGTAGCTAATCAGTTACTGGTCAAACCTCGCACTGATTACTTCCTGAAATAGATGAACTTGTATTGACTGAAGGTAAAAATAGCAGCCAATCTGTGTAACCTGCCTCAATCTGATTGCGTGTTTTATGTGCTGACCATGGGCTTGAAATAGGGGTGAGCTGTGGCAGTGTCGTAAAAAATGTATACCGATTTTCTTAGAGCCTCCTAGTCCCCAAGGTAACTTTTTATTGCCTTTGAGTTATAACTAAAACAGTTTGCCTGTTATGATAGATTGCACTTGACTAAGATTGTTTAAAACAGCCTGTCACTCACTCACTCACTCACTCAGAGAAGTATGTATAGAAACCACCAAGAGGAGTGGGTGAGAATTGGAGATAGAAGGACTTTGGCTATCGGACTTCAGTCTCCAGCAGAGGCCATTTTTTAGTTTGGGGTGACCTGCTGCCTATAGAAACATTTGAACATACATACATAATTTGGAGAAAATAATAATTTTAAGTTAATAAATTCGTGCCAGATTTTTTTAACGTTTCTGCTGTCAAACCATATCCATTGATATATCGCATCGTTTAATGTGATGATACAGTATTGATATCATGAGCTGCTGTATTGATATATTGGCAAAAGTATTTTTTTATATATTTTATTACATTATTTTGTTATGACGCTCCAGTTTTGTTGTTTGTTTAGAGGAAGGAAACTTCTTTATGTGACACATTTAACATATTCACTGTAAACTGGGCTTGTTTTATTAGCCAGGCTGGCGCCACCTAGTGCCTCGCCCCATTTTCATTTCTCTCTAGCGATTAGGTCAGGAATTGGAATACACTAGAAGGTTCGCAAAAGCCCCAGAAGTGTGAGTTCAGGCACCAGCCAATCAGCGAAGAGCCATACATTCTATGTTGGAAACGATTCCCGAGATCGAGGATTTAAATCCAGAACAATGAGAATGTTTGGTGAATTTTATCGAGAGGAAAGATGCTATTTCCCTTCTTCCTACGGGATTTGGGAAAAGCTTACTATACAAGTTAGCCCCATTAGCAGCGCTTTACATATGTTACGACCAAAGAGCAGCTATTGGTTAAATAAAAAAAGAACCCGCCTACTGCCAAGCGAATAGTGTTTTATATGAACTTTGCTCAAGAAGTGGTTTAACAAAGACTAACAAAGATCACAACCACAATTTAGCCATTATTTTTTACTGAACCATATTAAATCGATTTGAAATATATAAATATGTATCGTATAGTGGCCTGTGTATTGAGATATGTATTGTATCAGCAACTTCTTAATGATACCCAGCCCTAATCACTACTGCATGTTTACATCAACATGACTGAGCATGTTCAGTATTAGCTAAGACTATTTTTTTCCCCATGGTAATTCTTCCTGCTACCTGTAGATGGAGCCCTACATCACAGTTGCATAGAGGGAGCATCAAAACTGGAAAAATAAAATAAAACAAATAATTCTTTATAAAGCCATTATTTTACTTTTTCTCCACATCAAGCCAGAACAAAGATTCTTAAATATTCATGAAAATGTTTTTTAAAAATAAATCATACACTGGCATAATGTTATAGATAATAATTGATCTAAATACATATATATTTTATGATGCATGGCTTGTCCTCCTCCATGATGCTTAAGTTCACAGTTTTCAGCAGTTGCCGGGGAGAACCGAGCGTTTTGTGTCTGTGTGTTGCGTTCTGACTAATGCTGCCTCAACACTTCCGCCGTACGTCAAAAAGTCCCTCAGTCATCAGTGGCCTTCTCTAGCTGTCCAAAGAGCATCCACTTCTCACAGACTTGATTTATTTTGGATCGGTGCCTGTAACAATATGCACTACATATTCATGCATTTGATCACGTCTTCTCTCAGTTTTCATTTTCAGTTTGGTTAAAGTGAATTTTATGTGGCCAGTTCACTATAGGTAAATTATGAGATTAATCTTTTGTACTTAAGCAGAGATTTGTGAAGTTAACTTGACTCAAATTGCTTCTTATTTCAAAAGTAAGAGCAGATACTAGGCTGTTGTGCAAGTTGTTTTGTATTTTTGTAATACAATGTGCAAAGGGTGTCCAAAACCAGACATTTGTATGGTTGTTCTAGTGTGAATACTAGTATTTGTTAGTAGTCTTGAATTGAAATAACAATATTGTTTATTCTGTAAGGGTTGTGCATTTTCCTGCCAGATGGAGGGTTGGGAAGGGCATCTGACGTAAATACCCATGCCAAATCAATCTGCAAATCAATGAGTTTTCTAGGTTTTTTCTCTCTGCTTAATACACATTTTGCATTTCATCATGTTGTGCTGTCCAGTAAGAGTGGTTTGTTTATTCATCGTATAGTGGCAGATTATATGTCTTTTTTCCACTGTTTAGTGTGAAGAAACACCACGTTTTTTAAAAGAACAACATTGGCCATTGTTCACACAATCCCAAGGTGCGGCTCTTACTCATCAAAACCTGCTGTTTAATCCACAAACACTTAACTAGCAGCTCTCCAGAGACCAGTGCAATCCTCACTATACAGCATCCCTGAGTAAAAGCAGGTTTTACATTTACATTCACATTCACATTCTGAAATCTTGTGGATGCAGCACTGAGTATTGAATTTTTCATCATATTCAATACTTCATTACTTTATGGCTTATATAACGGACTAAAACCAACAAACACTTTATCTCTTAAGTAAGTTAAAATAAAGTTTTAAAGGTGTAACTTTTTTGGTCAAGGGTTTGCTACCTGCGTATCTCCAAGAATATGCTATTGATTTGCCTAGAACAGGGGTCTCCAGTCGTTTTCCTTGGGTGAGTTACCTTTACAAAACAAAAATTCCAGAGAGCTACTAATTTTAGCAGTCACAGGAAATAAAACTATACATAAGAGCCATGGCAAGACATAGATGGGGTACAGTTAGATAAAACATAAAACATAATTTATTTATGAGTGCACAAAGTCAGGCATCAAAATCATCACTCATCAAAATTATAGATTTACAATAATAATAGGCATTTAGTTAATCATATTTGAGTTTTTGAGGACAGTGCATGCAATTCAGAAATCTCTTGGTGAGCTACTTGAAAGGAGGTGGAGAGCTACAGGTAGCTCCCGAGCTACAGGTTGGAGGCCCTTGGCCTAGAATATACCACAGTATAGCATTATATGTATCTGTTTCCGTAGAAACAAGCAGATGACCCAGGGAGAAGTTACAAGTAAGATTTGCTTAGTTTAGTTTAATAAATGCAAAATAGTTTACTGTATACTGTACTGGAGAGCATCCCTGCCAAAGCAATAATATCTGCAAGGAGAGAAGAAGCAGCACACCCTTCACCAAATAATCATCCAACATCAACTATTTACATAGCTTTAATTTTCTACTATAATTTACATATCTTTAATTGAATTGTGTTTACAAAAAGGTGTGCAGCTGTCACATTACAAAAACAACATGCTCAAAATGTGTTGTGCGCGTACAATATGTTGCTGTGTTTTGTTTTAAATTCACAGTGTTTCATGTTGCTTCAGAATGCTGCTCGTGTCTTGGCTCTATACTTTATAATGATGGGGTGCCTGAGGCCGGCCCGAGGCTCAGGGTTACACCAGCTATCTCCTCTCACAAACCAATCATCTGCTCCCATCTCGTGCAGATAAACAGGGTTCAGGTCTGGTATGGCTGCAGCACTGTGGATTATTTTAGCCGCTAGAAATAGACGAAACTGCCAGCGAAACAGTAATTTGGAGTTGAAAAATAAAAGCTGAATAGAAAGGGCTGTTGAACTTCAAAGGCAGAGAGGGAAGTGAAAGACATTGTATCATGATGTATTGTAGTATATTGTTGTAGTAGAACTATTGTCTTGTACATTTACTTTTACTCTGTCTCGTACTCTGCTCATACTTTCATGTTTTTTTGTGTGTATTTTTTTATCTGTATTGTACATTTAGAATTGTTTTTGGGGATAAACCTGCTTTACAGTTCTTGTGTCAGTGGCATAAATTAGTTTCAGTATTATTGTTTATCATCTATATTTTCTTCAGCAATATATCATACTGCAAAATGTGTTATTGTGATGGGCCCACCATCCCTGATTAAAAGCATCATACCATCACTAATCATCTTTTTTTCTAATGTGACTCAGCATGAACTGTGAACCAAATCAATTAAAACCACCACGCTGAACACTTTTCTAATTGTCTGCTAATATTCATCACTAAAACCGGATCCACTCATGAGGTAAATGTTATAAATACTCCACTTGCAGTAATTTGACTTGCATTTCATTGGGAACTTTTGGCTTAATACCCACCGCTGTAAATTATTCATGAGCACAGCTGTTCTGGCCTCTGACAAAAAAGGAGGAGACGTGAAAGAAAACACCGTCAATTTATCCATGTCATATAGGCATCAGATCAGAAAATCACATACATTCAACAGAGATTACAGCGCTGATCAATTTTAGGATAGATTTGAAACAATGAACTAAGTAATTTTTGTATGTGCACATTTTCCCAGTCTGGATAAATGTGGAAGGTTTTGTCACATTGAGCAAATGCTATAAGCCTAATGCAGGTTTGTCTCTATAGATCTTTGAGTGTTCTTTGTGCTCTTGTCTCCAGGGAAACCTGTGGCCCTTTCTTCTGTCTGTGTGGAGGAGCATGTTGTGACCACCATGTCGTTAGAGATGGAGAAGACCATCACCAAAATTATGTACGATTTCCAGAGGAACTCTACGTCTGATGACGACTCTGGCTGCGCCCTGGAGGAGTACGTGTGGGTGCCTCCTGGCCTCAGTCCTGAGCAGGTAACACTCATTATGTTTACACGCCATAGACTGTAGAAAGAAGAGGACTAAGCGAGTGTGACGTCACCCATCGGCTCCAATCAAATGAGGGGGGGGGGATCTACAATTATATCAGCCTCTCCAAAATATCACAATAAATATCGTACTGTGAGATGCATATCGTGATAATATCATATAGAGAGATTTGGATATCGTTCCATCCATAGTAAAAGATGATGAAAGGAAATAATGATGGTGAAAATAATATTAGTTAAGTATTGTGAATATCCATATTAGGGAGCCTAGCAGTGTGGTTATGCTGCACTAAATTAAATTTGTGTCAGTTTTTGTTCTGGATTATTGTATTTTGTTAAATGTTAAATGTCATATTCTGTTGTTTTCAATAATAATAATAAAAAAATAATAATTAAAAACCCACCAGGATCGTGTAGAGCAGGTTAATATGAACATTTTAAGACCAAAATGAAGAGACTCACTGCAGAAGTTACAGACAGAAGGGTGATAAGTTTTCAATATAAAGTCAATTGGAGTTGATAGAGCCAGAAGCGCCAGAAGCTATGTCCGTTTACATATACAGTCTATGTTACATGCAAACTGCAAGTATGGGGTTTTAGCAGGTAGACCTCATACAGTGCATAGGGTTGATATTAATGTAACTTTCAGATTTCACATTTTTACTTTTCCACTGATTCAGAAAGACTGATTTAAACTTGCACCTGGAAAGACACATCAGCTTAATAGCCTCCTCCAATCATAGTGTAATGATGAGTTGCCACAGGGAGGGCATCCAGGGTGAAAAAAATAAATTAATAACCTAACTCGCTTCAATTCATTCCCAGATTTCCTCCCATGAGCTGTGGTTAAATTTCTAGTGGTGGAACTCTTGGAAAAGTCTTGAAAACTGCTGCCAGGTGCACTTCTTGAACCATGAGTGGACTCTGAGTAACACAGTGTGAACATGCAAACTTCTAATCATCCAGCATTTCAATATATTCCTTATTATCACGTATTATTTAACATAAATTTCAGACAGTTGAGGAGTGTGAGATATCATCTGGTTCTCATACTGTGTTTTCTGTCCCGGGCAGCCAGACTGTGTCAAATTGAACCCCAACGGTCAGACAAATTAAATTATTTGGACAATGAATTATGTGTGGCATTTTCCATTTTTCTCTGATGGAAAATTCATGCATACCAAAACAAGACCATGGCTCTGTGCTGTTTTTAAAGCTCCTTCATGGTGTTTTTTCTGTCTTTTGTGGGAGCGCTGGAGGAAAGGGCAGGGGTGATGTACAAATTACTGCTGTCAGGCCTTTTGTGGTAGAATAATTGTAAGGACGTTTTTCAGCTGTCGGCGTTAACTGTGCTGGAGCTGAGATCAGAGCCGAACAAGATGACAACTGTGTAACAAATAAAGAAAGAAAACACTTTTAATGTGTTTGTAAAATACCATATCTACCTTAAATACCTGATAAAGACCATAGGACTACTGCAAATACTACAAAAACTTTAAACAGACCTACAACTATTGAATAATATTGAATCTTATTATATAATCTTATTGAATAATTGATAACAGTATTAAAATGAATGGACCGAAACTTGATGTTGCAGGATGCCATCAGTGCTACCTGGTGTTGTGTCCTTAAGCAAGACACTTAAATGCCTTTCCTTCTGTTTCTCCATGCATTGTTATATGGATTAGCAGTCCCCAGCTTTTTCTCTCATAAGGATCAGTAATAAATAAATTTATTTTTCAGAGACGGATGGAAGGGGCGGGGCCGGTAATCACAGCACAAAATGCGTATAACTCTTAACTCTTGCTGTTTAGGTTAATTTGCTGTATATTTTCAGAGTAAATATGGCGGTAGACTACAAGGAGTTGTACTTAAAAATAGTAAAAAATATTTTTGTCTGTCTTGTTAGGCCCTGGATCCGTGGTTGGGGACCCCTGGATTAGAATGCACAGACGCAAAAATGTTTTCAATGTGACTGTTGTTTTCATGCGCTAGACTTGTTTAATTGCGTCTTTTCCCTCACTCAGCCAACATCAGAGAAGCCTGTTTTACACATGTAATTTTAATTTGTCTTGTGTTTGTGTGTTTTGTTGTGTGATTGAATGAGCAGGTTGCTGTGTAAACCCTGGAGTCTTTATTTAGCATGTGCATCTCTGAAGCAGCAGGCTCCCGCGCTCAGAGCAGATGACGGGGCCGCGCTGATAACTGTGATTTTCTCCAGTAGTCAGCCATCTTGACAGGAGGCTGCAGTCACTCTGATCCAACAGAAGGGGGAGAAGTGTCACTGTCTGCCTGTTGCCATTTAATGCACTTCAATGTAATGACTTCTTGACGCCTCTTGTGAGATCTCTCTGCATCATTAAAGCAACACAGATCTTATTTTCTGCAGCAGTGTCATTATCTGATCTAATCTAAGAATCATTGTACAGTTGTTCTTTGTGGCGCTGGTCCCACGGGTACTGTGTAGGGTCCTCTGTAATCATCCTTTAATTTTATTCACATTCTGTTTTTAAGCAGATATTATTGTTTAGTGTAGAACTATGCTTGTTATGGTTTATCGCTACATTAGACCTATTATATAGCTGTTATAGATCTGGTATAGATCTAATGGTACCATAGACTGTACAAAGAAGTGGACTAATTAGGGAATATGACGTCACCCTTAGCTTTCGGCCAGTGAAATGAAGCTTAGGTTTTTCAATCCGCGTATCGATCATTCATTCATTCATTTTTCAAAATAAAACCAAAAATAAGAAAACAAAAATGTGTTTAATGTGTATGTCCTGGTCTCAGTCCTGGTCTGGTCCCGGTCTGGTCCTGGTCCCTATCTCAGTCCTGATTTTGTCCTGGTCTGGTTCCAGTCTCAGTCCCGGTCTCAGTCCTGGTCCTAGTCCCCGTCTCAGTCCTGATCTCAGTTCTGGTCTCAGTCCTGGTATTGTCCCGGTCTGGTTCCAGTCTCAGTCCCAGTCTCAGTCCTGGTCCTGGTCCCAGTCTTAGTCCTGGTTTCAGTTCTGGTCTGGTCCCAGTCTCAGCCCTGCTCTCAGTCCCGGTCTGGTCCCGGTCTCAGTCTTGGTCTCAGTCCTGGTCTTGTCCTGGTCTGGTTCTGGTCTCAGTTCCGGTCTCAGTCCTGGTCCTGGTTTGAGTTCTGGTCTGGTCCCGTTCGCAGTTCTGGTTGGGTCCCAGTCTGGTCCCAGTCTCAATCCCGGTCTCAGTCCTGGTCCTGGCCCCGGTTCTGGTCCCGATCTGACCCCTTATTTTTTATTTTATTTTGAAAAACGAATGAATGAATGATACACAGATTTTTTTTTCTTAAGTAATAATTCCTAATTGTTTGGTTTGGTTTCTGCTGGTTTTCTACAGCCGTGCTTGGTGTTATATAGGTTATCTTGTGGGTTTCTTTTAAAATGAAGTTAGTCTGCTTTCCTTTGTGTCTACTGTATTTATGTTTTCAATGCAATAAAAACAGACTAGAGGTGTTTCAAAGACAATCTGAAAGGTTCTACAGGGTCATGGACGTGTAAAACTTAAACTATCAAACTCTTCTTTTTCTCTTTTCTACTCTTTTTCTAAAATGCTGTGAAATGAGGCAGTAATGACAAGCCTACAATAGCTCTTGATAAGTGCTTCAGCATCTTCATCTGCAATCAAACTCTTTCTATTTACCACATTCACATGGAAATATTCGAGTTGATTCTGGCCATGGCTATTACGCTCCTCTGCAGCATGAATACGAATGGCCCTAGTGCTGTGGAGATTGTTATTTCTTTTACCTATTACCAGAAAAAAGGTGATGAAAACGTAATAGTTGCATCATGTTGAAGGTTGGGTCAGCTGCTGTGCCTCCTTATACATACCCTGAACAGCAAATATTGTATTATGTATTTTTATCTTCCTTAAAGGTCCCATATTACACTATTTTCTGATCTATGTTATAATGTTAATTCCTCATCTAAAACGTACCTGAACAGACAAACCTTACATATTTAAGATGAATTTTTTCCTACTAGAATCATTTGGCATTTCTAGAGCTGAAATAATCCAGTTTCTACTAAACTGAAGGTGAAAAGGTAGTTTGAAAATGTAAAAATTACCACTTCATGACATCACAAGGTGGAATAGAGGATTTTGAGCTTTGGAGATGTAAACTAATAATAAAAGGTTACTCAAACGTGTGAATGGTTTAGAGGAGGTGACCACATTATAACATGGCTTAGATCGCACAAGAGTCAATTTTGAGTAGATATTAACATAACTTCTGACTTTTACTGTTGTCATTGATGGATTTTTTGAGCTTTCATCCTTGAAGAATAAAATTGGGGCTTTCTATATTCACTTGAAAGATAGTGTCAATGCCTTGCTATACATCTAAACTCCAGTTACTACTTCAAATTTTATTTAGGTACTTCTTAATAAAGAATGAAATAAGTCTTAATTCATAATGAACAAACAGCAGAATGATTCTAAGAAGTAACTACTTTATTTGAAGCTTTAGGGGGCAGGAGTGCTTCTTGGATGTGTGGAAATTGAGAAAAATTGTCTTTTTGCTCGTCAGCATTAGTTAGGCTGGTGCCACCTAGTGCCTCCGTTCAATTTCATTTCTCTCCAGCGACTAGGTCAGGAATCGGAATACACTAGATTGTTCACAAAAACCCCAGAAGTACGAGTTCGGGCACCAGCCAATCAGCGAAGACCCATACATTCTGTGTTGGCAACGATTCCCGAGATCAAGGATTTAAAGCCAGAACAAAGAGAATGTTTGGTGAATTTTATCAAGGGGAAAGACATTATTGCCCTTCTTCCTACGGGATTTGGGAAAAGCTTAATATACCAGTTAGCCCCGTTACATGCGTCACGACCAAATAGCAGCGATTGGTTAAATAAAAAAAGTACCCGCCTACTGTTGAGCGAACGAATTCTAATGCCACAAGGTCAGACGGTTTCCAAGAAGTGAAACTAACTGATGAATCAGGCTACTTCAGTATAGGGATCAGTCTCAAATACAAAGCTGAAAAACTTTTTCAACTTTGTACTTTATTTAAAGGTTAGGGTTTAAGGTATTACGCAAGTACTTACTAATCCTGGATCATTCTTGTAAACTATTAGTTCATTATGAATTAAGTCTTTGTTCATGCTTTATTAAGGCCATTGTGTTTTCTTCAAATGAGTCTATCATTGTCAGATCATGCCTTAAGTCTTCTCCTAAATCTACTGTACAGTGTGATCTCTTTGGCCTTTGACTTATAGATTTTCTGTGTTTCAGGTGCATCAATATTATAACTGTTTACCCGAGGAAAAGGTCCCCTATATAAACAGCCCTGGAGAGAAGTATCGCATCAAGCAACTGCTCCACCAGCTGCCTCCGCATGACAATGAGGTGAGACCAAATACATGACACACTTTGTTCTATACTGGAGCCACTTGACTAAAATATAGACTAAATTAAGCTTTGCCATTTGTAAAGATTACTTAAAAAGATTAATTAATAAGATGGTTGGTAATGAACCACTACCATGTTATTTTGTTGTTTTTGTATTGTGAGATGCATTTTGTGACTGAATTTAAAGATCTATTTCCTTTGAACTGCAAAATCTTTGGGTTTGATAATTTGACAATTTGATAATTTTTAGTATTTTATTAACATAAATTTGTATTTATTCATTTTGGGAAAGTAAACATTTTACCTTCTTTTGATGGAACAAAACCTCCATGTTGACATCAGTGCCGTCGTATCAACAGAAACAAGAACAACAGCAAAATTGCCCAAAAAGGAGTTGCAAGAAAAAATGTGCTTAATCCCACCCCCATCTTCTAATTGAACATAATGAACTTTCTTTTGCATTTTACATAAAACCGTTTGGACTACTTACATGTGAAGACAGTGAGTAACTGTTAACTGTCATCATATTGCAATAATAAAAAGGATACTGACATAGACTTACTTAGACTTAGACAATAATAATACCAACATTATATTACCAACATTATATAATTTGGACATAGGACAGACATTTACATGTTTCATTGATTTAATTTGCATTTGTGTGCATAGATAGACTGCATTTATAAAGTTCATGTTTTTGTTGTAGGTGCGCTATTGTAATGGTTTAGACGAGGAAGAGAAACGTGAACTAAAGATCTTCAGCAACCAACGGAAGAAGGATAACTTAGGCAGAGGCAACGCACGCCCCTTTCCTCTCACCATCAATGGGGCTATTTGTGATAAGGTACAACAACAGCAGAATAACTCAGTATGTATAATTATCAGACAAGAGACTACAGCTGCTTTACCTTAAACTCTTATCAGGAAGTTAAACAAAGAGCAACTAGACATCGTTAGCTTTTTTGAAGCCAGTGTTTTGGTACCAACCACTTGTTTTCATTTATCTCACTGATTATAGTTCCTGGAAATTTGCAACAATTAACTGTATTGTTAAAGCTAACTTGTTATTGGAGAATGTTTTATTATCCTAATGATCCAAAATGTTTTGTTTTTATTGTGTGACCACATGGGCTTAAAGGTGCACAGTAGGGCTGGGTATCATTTAGAAGTTACTGATACGATACATACCTCGATACAGTAAGGTTTCGATTTGATACGATTCAATACGATATATTTCAAATTAGTCTTTGTTAAACCATTTCTTCTGCAAAGTGAATATGAAACACACCCATTTTAATCATCAAAACAGTGAAAGGGTTAAATGTGTTACATAAAAAAGTTTCCTTCCTCTAAACAAGCAACAAAACTATAGCACTGTAACAAAATAATTTTGTAAAATATACCAAAAAATACTCTTGGCAATATACAGCAACCCACGATATCAATACTGTTACGATACAATATATCAATATTTCAATATTTTTATTACTGGTTCCTGGTAGGGGTCTGTTTCCTTGTTATTCCCATGTCTTGAATGTTCCATAGTATTGCATTAAGCTCTTGCATTTATTCAACTGATGTACAGTTATATACAACATTCATTTTTACTATAAGGACGCCTCACTTCTCCCCAGATCTAAACTGTATCTTGGCCTGATGGCTGTACCTGCTTGTCTCCATGGAAATAGATAACTTTAATGCCATATTGTAAAACATTCCACACAATGCAATAACATCTTTATAGAGAGAAGCAGGTGGGAAACTCTCCACTAAACTGTAACTTGGCTTGATGGCACCATCTGCTTATCTCCATGGAAATACATAATTTTAATGCCATATTGTAAAACATTACATGCAACACAATAACATGTTTATGGAGAAAAGCAGGTGAGAGACCCTCAACTACAAAAGTCATGCAGTGCTCCTTGAGAACAGATTATCCTTTCATAGCAGTTTATTTTTATGTACCAATATATTCCCCTCTCCTGCAGTGTGGCGGTCAGATAAACGGAGGGGACATAGTTGTTTTCGCTGCTCGAGCCGGCCATGGGAAGTGTTGGCATCCCCAGTGCTTTGTGTGCAGCATGTGTGAGGAACTACTGGTCGATCTCATCTACTTCCATCAGGATGGCAAGATCTACTGCGGCAGACACCACGCCGAGAGACTCAAGCCCCGCTGCTGTGCCTGTGATGAGGTGCCTCTGGAAAACAGTGAAAGCTTTGGAATTTGGATAAACATGAGGCAAATCTGGCGTGAAAAGATGTCTCTGTATTCCTGCCATGTCTCTCAGGCAGCGTGTTTTCCATTGTAATATACGGAAAGATGGGAATAGAAATAATAAATAGGAATGAGACCAAGCTGTCAGTGTTAACTTTGATTTGTTTACTGATTTAAAAATAATTTGTGGTCAGGAGTCAAAGAAAATACCATACTTTGATGTGTGCATTTTTTTTTTAAATAAGAGACATCATCAATCACATACCAATAAGGTGTAAGATTATGGCAGGTTAATGTTCTAGGGAAGATGTATCTAATATTTTGTAATTGTAACAAGAGGTTCCAGAGTAGACATTTTCTATAAAGTCATAACATTATGTCTGAAACAGGTGAATAGTCGATAATAGCCATATATAGTCATTGCTCTTTTTACCACAGGGTAATCAAATATCCGCTCTTACTCTGTTCAAACCATCATATAGACAGCAGAGGCTATAGGAAGAAAGTGTGCTCATGCATCCATTGTCTGGTTTTACAGATAATCTTTGCTGATGAATGCACCGAGGCGGAGGGCAGGCACTGGCACATGAGACACTTTTGCTGTTATGAATGTGAGACTACGCTGGGGGGACAGCGCTATATTATGAAGGATGGCCGACCACACTGCTGCAACTGCTTTGAGTCCCTTTACGCAGAGTACTGTGATGCCTGCGGAGAGCACATAGGTATATTTACACTGTGTATAACTTTTTTCTAGATGGCCTTGTTCCATGTTTGCTGCATATTCACATAATATAAGCAGAGCAAGAGAGAAATGATTATTGTGGTTCCCTGTCTGTATGGAGACTAAGGCTGGGTATTATTAAGAAGTTGCTGATACGATACATACCTCGATACATAGGTTATGATACAATACATATCTCGATACAGTGAGCTTTTGATTCGATACGATTCAATAAAAAATAATGGCTAAATCATGGCTGTGATACTAAAAGTCTTTGTTCATATGAAACAAACATTTTAATCAAAACAGTGAAAATGTCAAATGTGTTGCATGAATGAGTTTCCTTCTTCTGAACAAACAACAAAACTGTAGCTTTGTAACAAAATTATTTAAACATAATTAGTATAAGATACCAAAAAATCAGCACATTAAGCGATATGATATATACATTTTTGGATGTTTTTGGACACCCATAATGGAGACATATATTTTATAACATGAACATTGTGGTTACATAAAAACTGAGCACTGAAAGTCATTTTACTCTAAATTTACTGTATTCCTAATGTTTTGGGTTTTTTTCAAGGAATTGACCAGGGCCAGATGACTTACGATGGGCAGCACTGGCATGCTACCGAAGAGTGTTTCTGTTGTGCACACTGTAAGCGCTCCTTGTTGGGACGTCCCTTTTTGCCCAAACAGGGTCAAATCTACTGCTCACGGTCTTGCAGCGCTGGACAAGTATGTAACCTAATGATATAATGTACTTTAAAACTGTCAAATGTCACACTTTTACAAAGCATGTGTGTTTAGTCATGTTGAGTAATGAATTTCTTTCGATAGGATCCAGATGAGTCCGATTCCTCAGACTCAGCCTTCCAGAGTGCCCGGTCTCGTGAGTCCCGTCACAGCACTAAAGTCGGTAAAAAGGAACGCCGTAACGCAGAGCAGGAGCGCAGGAGCGGCGAGGGTCGGCAGTCTGCTCCTCCGATGCCCGACCGTCTCTCTGCCGAGATCGACCCACTGTCTGTGCAGATGGACCGATTGAGTGTCTCCTCCAGTCAAACTCCCAGCAGGACACCCACCCGCACCCCCAACCGCACCCCAAGCCGCGCCCCGAGTCTGAACCAGGTGTGGATGAGTCGCGATGATCCGTATGTGCCTTCAGCCTATGAGGGCCCTCAAAGAGACCCCTCGCCTACACCCGCACCCATTCATATGCTGGGACCCAGACAAGGCTACAACCCAAACACCAATGCCCACCCCCCAGCTCAGAGTCCAGGGAACCCAGGCAAGAGGCCAGACTCATGGGGCAAGGAGCAGGGCAATGCCAAAAGGACGCCTATGGCAGCACTGAGGGGACATTCCTTTAATGAAAACTGGATGCACCACAGCCAGGATGAGTTTAGGCCCAACAAACTCCGCACACAGATGAGCTTCAATGAAGCGTCCAGTCAGAACCAGGGCTTCTCTGACAAAAGGAGCATCAGCCTGGGCTTCCAGAGGGATGGCAGGCCCCCACTGACCCGAAGGAACCACATCACAGCTATGAGCTTCAATGAGCCGCTCACTCCTCTGGAGCAGACGCCACGAGGATCAATGGACTCAATTACTATGTCCAATACTGCAGGTAAGACCAATAAATACAGTAAATACTCTTGTATACCCCCTACTTAATGGAAATATAACAGTGAGTTTTGTTTGTAGGTAACTCTCTAGATGGGGGCAGTAAGCGTCAGGAGCATTTGTCCCGGTTCTCTATGCCAGATCTGAGTAAGGACTCTGGAGTGAACGTATCCGAGAAGAGCAACATGGGCACCCTCAGCTCTTCAGTCCAGTTTCACAGCACAGAGTCCCTGTCATCCACTCGGCCTTTCAGTAATAATAACATGTACACTCCTCTCAGAGTGGGTTACCCTTTGGGGTACTGGGATGGCCCACAGCCCCTCAGTTTTGAGAGTAAAGGTCGTGTTGGCGTGATGGGCAGCAGTGGGAACCTGCGCATGCCTCCACTGAGTGACCGAATGCCCCGGCGGCGTCTGACCACTCAGGACTCAGTGTCTCAGCAGCAGCCTCCACCGCGGCGCCGCAAACACCACAGAGGAAACGGGCAGCACCGCAGCGGGCGGCACAAGCGCTCACGGCGTTCTCGCTCAGACAACGCCCTGCACCTGGTGGCGGACCGCCCCACTCACCAAGTGGAGCCCCCATACCGCAGGGTGCAAGAGGACTATGACCGCTTCCCACCAGGACACAGAGAGCTGTTCAGTCTGGACTCTGCAGGCTACAGGCAGCAGAGGCCCTGTCCCCGAACCACCTCTGACCTGACTCTGCACAATGCGGGCTGGCCTCCTATGGGCCCAGCCGGGCCGTGCTGGGGAGAGGGTTACATGGAGGCGGCAGACCCCTGGTGTTCCAGTTGCTCCTCCTCTTCTGAGTCTGAGGAAGATGAGGGTTACTTCATGGGAGAGCCCATCCCCCGCCCTGTGCAACTCTGCTACATCAACAATGAGGAACTACGCCACCGCTACAGCCCATCTGGGATCGCAGGACATCACGGACCTCTGCATGGACCGATACATGGCCAAATGCACACTCGCCAGCGCAGGAAGAGCAAAAACTGTATCATCTCCTAGATTCTCCTCATTGTTTGAAGAGACAGGAGCAGATGGGCAGAGGGATGAGGATGAGAGGTAAAGAGCTGTGGCAGAATGGGAGGAGGCTGGAGAGCGTAACTTTGAAGTGTGTGTGCTGTGGGGTCAAACACACAAGGCCTATTTTTTGTGCTTATACAACTCTACACTGGCTAGTGTTTATGTACACCTACACAGGATGATCTAATCCTAATAGGAAGCTCAACTGACTTACACAACACAATGTTTACTGTTATGAACATCTACTCATCAATCTACCTGGATGCGTCGATGATCTGCCTACTGAATACACTTCTGTGATGTTTGTGCATTCTTGACTGAGAAAGACTGAGCAATCTTATACCTTTGGGAAGATCACATTGGACTATTGATTCAGTGATCTTAGTTCTTAAAATCTTCTACGGACAAAGAACTAATGTTGAAATAGTGAAAAAGTACGATTACCTCTGTGGGATGTAAAGCTGCTTAAAATGATGTTGGTTTTCACTTTGTACAAATTGTCTGTTGAATTGTGCTCTACATTAGCCAGCTCCATGCTTTAACGAGGACTGAGCGCCCACAGCCTCGGCCCTCGCCCATTCAGGCACAGTAACGTCAGGTATGGTCCCGTTTCTCTTCTGCAACATGCTTTGTTTTTTGAGAGTTAGATATAGATAACTAAGAATAATAACAATAAGAAGCTTAAACAAAAACACCATTAATTATAGTCTTAAAAAGAATATATGTTAAATGTATATATAGCACTCAACTTATAATGGATGTAGTAATGTAAATGTTCTGTACATATGGTCTTAAATATTTATATATTTTGTAACTAAAGAATCATTATTTGTATTACATGACGTCAGGATACAAAGGCTTGCATGTTGATTTGTTGGTGTTGTCTCAAACTGGAAATAAAGTGTTCTTCAATTAACATCACATCCATCACTCGATTTCACTCAACCAAACTGCAAAGTGCTACTCTCATAGAGCTAATATCTGTTACACATTTTGCACAAGGAAAATACATAGCAGTAGCAGGCCATACAGCCCCATACAGCCTTATTGTCAGAAAGTATGGAGTACAATGCCTGGATAATGATGATTTCTATTGTACAGCGATGGCTCAGTGTAGTGCCCAGAGTAATTTGTGTCATCTGTGTGTTGATTAACATCCACTCTTCTGACCAAACAAACAGGTAATAGAATAAGAATAATGCCATGTACTGAAGAAGTGGAAAAAGTCAGTATAGTTTCATTTATTTTACAAGAATAAACAATAATTTCACTTACAATAAACAAAATATATAGATTCAACTGCAAACAACAAGAATCATCTGCATATAAAAGGCATACAGCCAGTGCATTTTGAGTTACATTCGAAATGAAAGCAACATTTTCAGAAGCAAGAAATAAGGGTACATAAAGTCCTCACAATTCATCAGTGGAAACAGTAGTAATCAGCCGTTTAACTGGAGCTTATATGTCCTATTAGAGAGACAGCTCCCTGGAGTCGTAGTCTGCTATAAACTTCTCCATGGCCTGCACACAGCGAGCACCAATGTCCCGCAGGTTCTGCCGCAGCGAGGCCTGGATTGGGACCTCCAGAGATGGGTCCTTTGCAATCAGCATCTTCACCACCAAACCAAACATCTCACACTCCTGGTAGTACACCTGAAAGAGAATCACTGCCTGTATTTATGAAGCCTTTTCTTTGAAACTGCTACATACATTTCCCCCCTGATGTACTCATTTCTAATTCTATCTATTCTTCCTTCTTAAATTGAACCGCAAGTGATGAGCGATTGAATAATACTTAATAAAAATAAACTGTACTTAGTTTATCAAGTGAGTAGAATACTTTTTTTTAACATTTCTGTTGTCATCCAGTTTGTGACTAAATGAACAGTCTTTTACAGGGCATTTCCTCATTTTAACAACATATGTACCTCATCTATCTCTTTCCTCTTCTTCTGAATGGCTCTATCCCGCGCCGCAGCCTGCTTCACAGAGGACTGATCTGTGTCTGGATCTCTGCTTCTGTTGGCTCTGTGGTCCCTCTCTCGACTCTGGCTCTTGTCACTCTTTGAGCCCTGAAAACAACAGAGACACGATGCATTTTGGATGGCAGTGCAGTGACAGTTGGCTAACGTCTTCATAACTGACCAGTCACAACTGAACTGCTAATGACCAAGAGGTGACCGGACTGTATGATTTCCTACTGTGTATTGACAGCCAACACTGGAACATGAACTCCAATAATTCTTCTTCTTCTTACACACTTACATACACACAAATTACATTCTACTTCATATTATCCTCTTCATATTATGCCATATTTAATGACTTGACTTTTCTGTTCCATAGCTCTAGTAAATCATCTGCTCCCTGCCAGGAATTTGTGGATTTCTCCAAAAACTTCCATGTATTTAGATGAAGGGTAAAGTCAGATTACCCAATTATGACAGCATATAAAAGTAGTAGTAACTCATGTTCTCTGCTTATTATTGTGGGCAGGCATGAAAAATCTAATACAGATATTTGTTGCTACTTATTCAAACCAGCACCTGAGCTTATTTTAAATGGCTAAAAAAAGACGAGCTGTTTGAGATGTTCACAAAGTGGTTTCGAGTGGTGCATTATTCATTCTCTCTCCATAACTAGTGGTAGGCTTCATTGTAGACTCAGCTGCCAATCTGCACTACACTGTCCATCTATCTCATTCTAATATAAAACATTCATGCAGGCAGTTTGGAGCAAGGTGTTGTGCCCAAGGGCATAGCAACAGTACAAATGGGAGTCAACTGTCGGGTCATTATATATCCAAGAAAACACACCAACAAGTAAGACAATTAGATTTTGTGATAATGAACTCACAGAATGCTGATCTTTGTCTCTGCTGGAACTAGATCTTGGCTGGAAAGCTCTGGTACCTGGAACAAGAGAGAATCACAGAGTACTGCATTAGATCATCACTATCTTCCATTTTCCACATACATTTTTTCATTTCAAATAAATTTTGAACAGGTTTGTACTATGCCATTTTCTGATCTATGTTATAACATCTATGTTAAAACATACAGTACCTGGAGTTGTGTTTTGTTTCATTCATACGTTTAACACATGAACCCTGCATGTATATAGGCTTGAAAGTTCTTCTCTCAAACTGAAAATACTCTGTTCCACCTTGTGATGTCATGCGGTGATACAGGAACTGCTCTACTGTATTTTTAAACTCCATAAACTTTCACTTAAGTCATTTGGATAATTTCAGCCCTGGAATTGCCAATCTCTACTGAACAGAAGGTAAAAGGTAACTGTTCACTTGAAAACTACCACTTCAAGTTATCACAAGGTAGAACAGAGCATTTTGAGCTTTAGAGATGTAGACAGAGTAATAATAAAGGGTTAGTCAAACAAGTGTGAATGAAACAAAACACAACTCCAGGTCTGTTTTTGAGGAGGTAGCAACATTCTAACAAGACTTAAAACTCACAAGAGACCATTTTGAGACCTTTAATCGAGAAATACCCAGATAGGATGATCACTTAGACTGGGAACTAAATCTTATTTTCATAATTTGCTTTTCTTGTGATATTACTTGACTATAAAAACAATAAGCTGTTGTCATGTAAGTCATTGTACAGATCTGTTACATACTGGTAGCCCCCCTGTGTGTCCTCACAATATTCTTCTCTTTCACATCTAAATACACAAACGGCAGCGATGAGTCACTATCATCTCACCATCACTCGAGCACTCACAAAACCTGCTTCACAGTGGCACATACACAACACACCTCCACAGAGCTGCAGTGTGCCAAGGAAGTGCAGGAGAAGATAACAACACTCACTATCAAATACCATATGTTCAAACAAAGAAACAGCACAGCACAATGAAAAAATATAAACAAAGCTGTGATAAAAAAAGACAATTTCTTAACACTCAAAATGTACATAAACCTGATCTAAATCAAGGTAAGTCAGGACTAAAACTGGCATAAACCAAAACCTTCCTTTTCTTTTACTATAGACAATCTGCATCTTAAATTCCTTAACACTGTTACAGAGAAAAATAGTTCAGATTACATTGGGCATCCCAGTACAGACATCATATTAGAGAGGTGATCATAATGTTATGGTTGGTCTGAGTAACTACTTAATCAATTGTCCACCTACCACTGTACCTTCACATTTGCAGGACAAAAATAACTGCCGATTATGCAGAGGTGATGACACATTTTTATGTATTGTGAGTATTGTGAATTTGCTGCTGAGAGCTATGACATAATCCAGTCCATGAAAAGCTGTTCGGCTTTGAGTCTTATGTAACATTGATTTCTTGGTACCAGAATGTGACTAGTATCCTCCAACAAAGGCAGGAGAGTGCAAACACCCCCCAAACATTTGTGAAGCAAAGTGCGGCTAAAGGTAAGTGTACTGATGGTCTATACCGCCACCTAAAGGCCATGTACCAGAATAACACACTGACTAGTATAACAGGTGATGAGGAGAAATGAAAAGTGAAAGGATTTTTACATTTCATTCTAGCCTTCCACACCCTTTAACGTAAAACTAATTTCAGTAGTTTTTTCTGCCACAATAAAAAGTATATCAACTTATCATTCAGTATATTAAAGCTGGAACAATATATTTTGGGGTTCATTATTTATTGTGTGTACATTTTCAGTACAGATTTGAGGTATATTTGTTGTAATATGGGGGCGGCAGTAGCTCAGTTGGTAGAGCCCACTGATCTGAAGGTCGGCGGTTCAAATCCCGCTCTCAACATAAACATCATAGGTTGAGCGGTCAGATCCACTGACCCACAGGTTGGCTGGTGTGATTCCAGCTCCCACAGATGAATGCTGCCGTTGTGTCCTTCGGCAAGACACTAACCCACCTTGCCCACAGTGTCTGCGCACACTGGTGCGTGAATGGGTGAGTGGTTCCTTGTTGTAAAGCGCTTTGAGTGCCTTGAAGGTGGAGAAGCGCTACAGAAAAATGTGACCATTTACCATAACATTTGAGCTGCAGAGGGTTGAGAAACCTACTTCTATGTTTTATTATTGGTTGCAGCTAATGCCTTTTGATGATACTGTCTATTTAAAAATGGTTTACTGGGATTCTTTTGTATTATTGTTATTGTGTCCATGGCATAAAGTAGTTTTAATATTGTTTGTCACAGTATAGATTGTGCTTCAAAATTTGTTATCATAACAGGCCAACTTTACACCTACTATTCTGTTTGGATGGTGAGTTGCCTTCCACACTCTTCCTCTCCTCATATCTCTCCTCCCGGTCTCTGTCTGCAGGAGCATGTGGTTTATAATTTGGTCGGCGATTGAAATAAAACTTGGACTTGAACTTTGTCCATCTCTGATTATTCACAAAACCAGATTTATGGACGGCATGATCCTCTCTGCCAAACCTGAAACACAATAAAATATCAGACAGGATATCGAAAAGAATTTAATACATAGGTTATGAATAGACTGATCAGGTCTCACTTGTGAAATTTCCCTGATAGTTTGGGTTTATAGGAACGGGAAAGCCACGCCCTTGGTCTAGATGGACTTCGGACTCTTCTGATGGCCCTCTCTGCTACCTGTACAAACATTCAAATATTTCTCTAAAATAATTTAAATTTTAAATGCATGAAATTGTCATTACATTTTAAACTTTGTATACTTGTTAAGCAGTAGTGGATGTAGTACTCTATTTTGTTACTTAAGTAAAAGCATAGATACAGGGGCCAAAAGTTACTCAAGTAAAAGTATTACATGAAATAAAAACTTAAGTAAAAGTATTAAAGTATCTGTTTAAAAATCAAATGTACTTAAAGAGTAAAAAGTAAAGGTATTTTGCTGAGATTTTAAGAACAATTAAAGGATGAATGAATTAATGATTTTAAGTGATTTAAGAGATTTCATAATTTTCTGAAATAACTCAAATTAAATGTACTAAACTAAAGTCTTAAAGCATAAAGAAGAGTACTTTTTACTTTTCAGTCCAGAGCTAAACTGTAGAGGAGTAGAAAGTACAAATACCTGCTCATAAATGTAGCATAGTAAAGTAAAAAGTATCCACTGCAAAATGTACTTAAGTAAAGCACTAATACCTAAAATTTGTACTTAAGTACTGTACTTTCATTTTTGTACTTTGTTACCTTCCACTACTGCTGTTAAGGCAAGCTCATGCTGACATTTATTTACTGTATTTATTTATTTTACGCTCTAATCATGTATATGAGAGGATCTGACCTTATCTGAAGTTTCTGAAATGTCAGATAATCTTTTGTCAACCTGAAAAAGAAAGTTGAAGTTAGTCCTATTGGATCATGACATTTTAATATGTTTCAAAATGCTATTATGTGTTCAAAGGTTGGATGAACTCTATTGCTCTAGTAAACTGTAAATGAGCTTTAGCTGATTTTGATTCTGGACAATTGCACTAACAAATAGGCTAGGTTAATAACGATAAAATGTAAAAGCAAAAACATGTCGAATATGTCGTATTCTAAAATATATATGTAAATAAATAGACAAAACAACTGTACCCTGTCAGTTTCACTTTCAGATTACAAACCACGTGACATGCGATGCATTTGATAGTTTTTTGACTTTGCTGACTCTCACCCATGCCCTCACCCTGCTAGAACAGAGGAGAGGCTTTTACCTTGTTCTGTGGCGTGTGCAGTGTGGAGTTGTGGTCCATCTCAGCCTTTAAACTCACGTACGATAGTTTTACTTTCCCCGTGCGTCGGTGCACTCCTATCACCGTCCCAGACCAGGAAGAAACGCGTGGCCCCGTCAAACACGCTTAATCTTTACAGTGAACATGATCTAACAATGTATGAAGTGCAGAAGCCCATGTGCCGCCTGTCCTCACAACTGCACCACGACACACTCTTTCTTACTGACATGAAAACACTGGCGTCGAAACGCCTGTTTATGCAAATATGAGAAATATAACTTCCCCTGTCATGTCGCCTGCTGTCCAATCAGCTCCTATCAACACAAACTAAACAAATCAGACAGACTGCACGCATGCCCAGACACTGACCACAGCTCATCTTACCAAGCCTTACGCCAACATATAATTTGCCTATGCTGGAATGTAACGAAGTAAAAGTAGTAAAGTACAGTATTTAAGCCATATTTTTAGATATCTAATACATTTTAAAGTGGATACTTTTTACTTTTACTTAACTACATTTAAGAGCAGGTGTCTGTACCTTCTATTCCACTACATTCTTGAACCTTGTGAGACCTCAAAATCTGCACTGAATACATTTACTTTTTTACCCTTTTTTACCCTACCCAAGTACCACTTGTGTATTTAGGTAGATTTTTTCATGCAATACTTTTGCTTGAATATTATTTATGTATTTATTTATTTTTCTCCAGTAGGCTTATCTGTACTTTTACTGAGTACTTCTTCCACCAGTGTATTTGCCATATCTGACTTAACCACACTTTTCCTGAATATCTATATGCTTCAGATCACTGATGACAGTGAAACAGTGTATGCAGCTCATGACAGAGAGCCAGATTTGATGATTGTCTAGCCCACGTTCAAAGTAAACTAGCCAGTAACATATTTGCAAAATACGCCTAATTATCTCAAGCCCTTCAAATGATTTTCATATAGAAACTGTAAAAATGGTACGATCATTTCTTGTTCTTACTGATAGCCTAATAATAATGTTAAACTAGTCTGATGATATAGAATAAAATGGTAAATGGTCACATTTTTATATAGCACTTTTCCACCTTCTAGGCACTCAAAGCACTCATTCATTCACACACCAGTGTACGCAGACACGTGGGGTGAGATGGGTTAAGTGTCTTGCGACTACAGAATACAGTCTGTAACATTCTTATAAATGCTAAAATCCTTATATTCTAATATGTCGCTATTGTATAACAATAATAACAAGGAGACAAATTTTCAACCCCTCTCTGCAGATGTGATGTTGTGCAGGTGATCACACTCAAGTGCATCCTAACTGTAGTGGAAATATTAGAAGCAGTGATAGTACCCTCAAAGGTGACCTTAGCATAGCTGTCGCATAATTGCCAACAGTTTTGTAATGGCCTACTTAAGTATTTGTAGCTCTAATAAGCCTATTATAACAGTTTTGCATTCAGCTTTTACGATTATATTTTATTCTATTGTGATGAGTGTAAGATGTAGAACATGATTATTAATTTATAATATTTTATAACACAACCTCCATCATAATCCAAGGTCATCTTTAAAAACATCACATTTCCTGCTAAGAACAAAATGTATTTCTCAGAACACTCTTTTGCACAAAACCGGTGTGGCTCGTTTTTGATACCTTCCTCTAATTTGGCTGCTCCTCCCTGTGGTCTCTGTCTCCTCCTACTCTTTCTACAGGTAATACATACACCTCCACCAAAACACAGGAGCATTCGATCAGACTACACATGAACTAAGATCTGGGTCAATTTGAAGCTCATGACAAAACTGATCTATCACTGGATTTCACTTTCAAGGTAATCTTTAAATGATCTAACTAAACTAACTATGATTTACTACGATCGTGTTATTTTTGTGCTATTGTTCTAGTTGTTGTCAGTTTCTGGAGACCTGTTCAAACAGGTTTTTGAGTTGCCTAGTTAGGTAATTGTCTGCAAGAAGAAATACAGTAGAGAAATGTGGCAACCATAGCTCAGTTGAACATAGGTGTGTACAAGCAGTATACAATGTGTCCATTACACATTTGTTCTGGCAGCTTGTAAGTTAACAGTGAGAGGTGCAAAACACATTTTGAGTCAAGAAGTTCACTCAACCTGCATAATTAATTTTCTTTTTAAACTAATACTAAGTATTTTTAGTCAAGTAATTTAAAGGTACACGATGTAACTTTTCTGATAGAAGGTCCGCCACTCGCTTGACTCCATGTAGATGTTAATGAGATTCAGATCTGTGGAGATATGGGCCTGCTCACATTAAGAGTACAAATCTTTGTAGTAGTTTTGAGAAATAAAAACACCTGTAAATGAATAAATATATAGATATATTTGTGCCATACTGTGGAACATCCCACGCAAAGCATTGACATCACCATGAAATAAGCAGATGGTGGACCCTCCACCAGCAAGGTTACACAGTGTGCCTTTCAGTTATGTCCTTATTGATTAATAGAGTTTTTGAATACCTCCTCAATCATTGCCAAACAACAGTATTCACTTATATCTGTTTGACATATGTGGATAATTTGACTCTGAAGACAGAGGCGTATATAGAAAAATTCTATAAGCCAAACTGGAACAAAATGTGTTGATTGTTTTGTTTATTTCCCTGAAGATTAGCACTTTTGGCTCTTGGGTCACCTGCGAGTTGAGACATGAGGTAAGAATGATAACTATCCATCTAATGTTGGACGTGTTCAGTTTTCCTCATTTGAATGATGTTGCATATTCATTGCAGGGTCCAAACATTTTCAAGAGCACAGATTCTGGAGGAATTCACTCTTCGATTCCAGTCTCTTGCTGCAAATGACAATCGCGGATTTAAACTAGAATTTGAGGTAAATTCAATTATTTATTATTATTCTATTTATTTTTTATTTTTTTTACCACAATGCTTCAGATAAACATGTATTCTTTGATGCTGAAGGATTTAGATGAGGTTGGCCAGAACTTACCCTCCAGAGCTGGGAATACTGAGGCCAACCAGAACAAAAACAGATACCCGTACATAGTGCCATGTGAGTACTGATCAGATTTTCAGCTGGAGGGTCCACTACTTACTTATCACCATCATTGACACCATAGCTTTGCCTGATATGTTCCACAGTAAAGCATTAAACTATTCAATTTTCATGGATACAAACAGGTGATGCCACTAAAACAACAAAAATTTGTGGAGAGGCAACTCGTTCACAATAAAGACTGATGAACCCCTGTTATTTAATAAATGCAAGATAAGATAAGTTTCATGCCATACTGTGGGACATTTCACACAAAGGAATAATATTTCCATAGTATGAACACTTAGAGGGTGGCATACATCTCTACTGAGCACTGTTTATAAAATATATTTTTACTGTGTTGCAGATGATCATTGTCGAGTGAGGCTGTCTGTGCAAAACCAAAATCCATATTCAGACTACATCAACGCAAGTTATGTCCCTGTGAGAAAAAAACATTCTTTTTTTTTTTTTATTTGATGTTGTTTAGTGGTAAATTAAGTACAATAAGCTAATAATTTATATAGAATTTATCTATAATTTAACTATAATTTATACTGGCGGTAATTTACTTAAATTTATACTTATTATCCATTTTTTTCTGTAACAGCAAGCAATTTTGTTTGATCAGGATAAACTTCATGATTATTTTCCTTTTCACATGCATATGTTTAGGGTGGAGGGACAGAGAGGGATTTCATCTGCACCCAGGGCCCGCTGCCGCACACTGTGGCGGACTTTTGGAGGATGGTGTGGGAGCAGAATGTCCAGATCATTGTCATGGTGACGGCTTTGAGACACAAGGACATAGTGAGTATCAGTCAATCAGTATGTAGTGTAAGGATGTGATGTAATTTACATTTTATTTTTGGAAGAAGTTGTTAAATTCTTCCATCCCACTCTCCCACCCCATCTCTCTCTCCCTATTCTCTGTACAACACTCATAACAAAAAAACTTCTCAGCCACTGAGTAACAGAGACTTAAATCAGGAGTATAAAATGTGCATAGTTTGAGAATCACAGACACATACTGTAAATATTTGGACTTTTCAGATTCTGTGTGAGAAGTACTGGCCTCTTGAACCAGGAACAGCTCAACATGGACGAATACACGTGACCACAATGAACCGCAAGCAAGGCCCAGACTGTGTCATCACCACACTCAAATTACAACAGGTAATCAGTAATAAAGCCAATGGTACTAGCATTTTGGGAGTGGTATTTCTAGTAGTAGCCATCATTTTAGATCTGAATATAACGTTATTCCTCATTGTAATCAGACTACTAGTACACTGAATACTTCCACTCATTTGTGTACTTTATAGAGATGTAATGATATCCAAATCTCATGGTATGATATTTACTGCGATATTTTGTGGAGGCTAAGAAAATTGTGAATATGCTCTTTTTTCCTTTTATATTGACAAGCCTTTGTCATAATTCAGAATTAAGAAAGTGCTTTATAATGTCTTTTCTTAATGTAGTCGGCACTGAAACAGAGCAAAGGATCATGGTCTATGTAGTTCTCTCTGTTTTTTAGCTGTTTTTTAGTTTGTTGTTGCACCATAACAATGAATATAACAAAGCAACTTGTGGTACAATCCATGATCTTATTGTGAGACTTTTGATGATACAAATTCACAATATTTCAGTCATTGTACTTGAGTGGCTAAAAGTGGTATCATTATAAGGGAGAAATTGGTGGTTCAAATTCCACCCTAGCCAGGTTTAAATATACCAATATAATTTTTAAAATCTTTGTTTCAGAGGGATTTTCCCACTGATCGGACAGTCACACATTACTATTACTCATCCTGGCCTGATCTGGGTATCCCAAAAGAACCAGCGTCGCTTTGCGCCTTCACTGAGCATGTGCGTCAACACCTGGAGACCCTTCCTCGCCTGGGGCCAACGGTGGTGCACTGCAGGTTTGACCTCTGACCTTTTACTTTTTAAATTAGTACAAACCTACAGCTAGAGATGGGATGTTACTAGATACTATCATTTTAGGGATTATCTATCTATCTGTCTGAGGGATTAACTATTTCGACCTTTACGAAAGTAGATTATAGAGTAAAAATCTCTACTCATTTTCCCCCAGTAGTAATAGTATTAGAAGTGCAGTAGAGCCAGCAAAGGTAATAGCAGTTGTGAGATCATGTGCTGATAATAATATAGAAAACACTGCACTGCACTGCATTGCACTGCACTGCACTCTTTTTACAGACCAAGAGTTTTTCATACATGACAGTTTCGACTGCTTACTAGCGGTCTTCTTCAGAGTGGTCACGTGATGTTGCTGTGACGTGTCCGGTCAGCAAAGGAAAACAAACATCGACGCTGGATTAAAGAGGCAATCGAAATACGGAAACGTGCCTACGGGACTATAAACCGGGATGAGGGGGCTTTTTTACTCTCACACACCTGGGATACTGCCCTGAGGAAGTCGGACTGCAGATGGCGCTGTTGTCCCGCCTCCACCGGTAGGAAGACAGCACCAAAACCTGTTTAACTCAGCTGGCTGGACACGTCACAGCAACATCACATGACCACTCTGAAGAAGACTACTAGTGAGCAGTCGAAACTGTCCAGTATGAAAACAAACTCTTGGTCTGTAAAAAGAACCTAATAACATAAAATGTCAGCAGACCAAATGAATCTCATTGGACTACTGCACTGGTCTGTTAAATAAAACCACATTGAAAATTTGCCATCACATTGGTAGTATTATCCAAGTATTATGCAACACTACTACTATTATCCATATACTGTCACTACTGTACTAGCTTTTTCTTCAGTGTATATGGTTCATAGTTGTTTCTGTTTGACTCCAGTGCAGGTGTGGGGCGTTCAGGGACCTTTGTAGCTCTGTTGTGGCTCATGCAGCTCTGTGCTCGTGGGATCAGGCCTGATGTCAGAGCTGCAGTGGAGGACCTCAGACTGCATCGGATGTGGATGGTACAAAAACTGGTGAGAGACACAGCTAGAGTTAAACAAAATACCTTTACTTTTAACAGAATTTTAATTATTATTTAAACCCTAGTAACAAATAACGATAGTATATTACACTGTTGTACTAGTACTCACACTGTTGTTCTAAAAAAAATACTTAGTTGCAGTAGTGAGCCCAGAAGTAATTAGTTGTACATCTCACCTGTCATGTTTTTCTATTATATATTTTGATGTAAGTACATCTTAAAGGCCCTATACTACAAATTTCAAAGGCTCAAAATGCTGTGTTCCACCCTGTGATGTCTGAAGCAGTAGTTTTCAAGTTAACAGCTACCTTTTACCATTAGTTCAATAGAAATAGACAATTCCAGGGCTGAAATTATCCTAATATTAGTGAAGGTGTATGGAGTTCCTCTATTACCACATGACAAGGTGGAAGGTGGAACAGAGTGTTCTGTTTGAAAGAAGAACTCTTAAATATGCAGGGTTTGTGTGGTAAACATGTATGAATGAAACAAAACACAACACAAGCATATTTTTGATGAAGAAACAATATTATAACATAGATCAGCATAATATGGGCCCTTTAATGTATAAAATATTTGATCTACTTTTGCAAACTAGTATGCCCATGCATTAAGTCATTATATCATATTTACAAGAGATCTTTCTCTGTTCTCAATTTAATTGCAGCAGCAGTATATATTTGTATACCAGTGCCTTCTCCATTGGCTTAATGCAAGAATAGTAGGATCTGCATGGTAAGAACATACAAAACTGATATGACCATGAAGTCTATAGTGGAAATAATGAGTTTGTCTCTTTCTAGGCTACAACTTCAGAGCCCCAGTCTCAACCCTAATCAGTCCCAGCCTCAAAGCTCTGCACCAACAGGAAATAAAGTGAGAAAAAAACACAGGCAACGCAGAAAGTCAACATCAGATCAAGAACAATGCACAACACATTTCCTACATCCTTCAAACCTTTTAAGGAAGCTACTGCCATCATCAACCTTACCTAAGAAAGGCTCAAAAATGTCTCCTACTTCACCATCTAGGTGAGAAAATGTCTGATCTTAGGTCATACTGGGACAAACTGGTCTGACAACATGCAACTAATGCTCTTGAGCTAAGTACTTATGTTCAGACAAAAACCTGCCAATCGGGACTAACTCGCTTTGGAAAGACTGAGAATGAAGAGGTGTCAGCAAATCCTTCATGTATATAAAGACTCACCTCTATAAACTAAAGATAACCTGTGCAGCTAAGTATATGTATATGGTGTATGATTATGCTTTGTGAGTCTAAATAAAGTTTGTGTGGAGTTTTATTTCAGTTTGGGAGTACAACATGTGTCATTTGTATGTCACAAACTGCAGGCCATTTGTTTTCACAAGTGCATTTGATACAGAGCCACAAAAGAAAGGCAGAGGCATGGCATATAAGAATTTGTACAAAAAGATTCAAAATCACAGGCACAGCAGCTCCCCCTGGGACTGAAACTTTACATCAGTACATGATGTAGTGTCACTGCGTTGTCCCACAGCCAAACTCAAAACACATTTTGAAACAGGCTGGCAGAGAACACAGATGCATTCTGGCAGACTTCCAACCAGGACTCCGTCTAGTGGCAGGTCCTTCAAACTGCAGTCAAAGATGGGGACATTGTATGGCATTCAAGTCTTTACAATTGTCAATGATGAGTTTCAAAAGACAACCAAATTCCAAAATGCTCAAGCAACATGAATGAGAACTATTAAGCAGTTTAGGCAACATATTGCTGCCAGAAATAAATGTACTGAGACAAAACAGCAATGAAGACAGGAAAGGAATATATAAAATATATTACAAATAAAAGCATAACAAAAGTAGTGGTGCAGAGAATAGGAGAAAAGCTAAAATAACATTTAAATTAAGAGTAAGATTAGACACTACAACCTTTGGCCAAAAAGTGTTAAGATTAAGAGACTGCCTTAGCAATACAAATCATTCTTAGTAGTATATGTATGTACAGTCAATGTGTATATACAAACAGATATAAACATGTACACACCACCCTTAAAGAGCCCAAAAAAGATCGAAATCTACTACAGTTGAGCATCAAAGGCTGGAGAGGAAAAGGAAGTCCTTATACGGTGCTCTTCTAGTCCCATTAATGCACGCTCTCTGATAAGGTGATGGCTTCCTGTATTTCTCGTACAACTAGGATGCGTGCCAGCATCTGCTCCAGCTGTTCTTTTGGGATGGGCTGTGTGGAGTACCAGATGGGACTGTTGGGGGCCACCACAGGCTCTGGCGTCAGGTAGAACGTGTCATTCCGCCCTTTAGCACTCTGTGGACTAATGAACACAAATATTCAAACATTAGAAGGGTGTGAAAAAAGATCAGGACCAATGAATTAATATATCTAGATTAAACTAAGGGTTAAAGGTCCTATATTATACAAAATTTATTCTTGTGAGCCTTTAGCCATGTTATATTGCTGTTACCTCACAAAAAACTTACCTGGAATCATGTTTTGTTTCATTCGCAAATATTTGAGTAATCCTGGTTTATTAGCTCTCTAAAGGTCAAAATGCTCTCTTCCACCTTGTGATGTCATGAAGTGGTAGTTTTGAGATTAACAGCTACCTTTTACCTTTAGTTCAGTAGAGATTGGATGATTTCAGTCTTGGAACTGCCACATTAATCTAGTGAAGATGTATGCAGTTTAAAAATACAGTGGAGCACTTCCTGTATTACCACATTTCCACCTTGTGATGTAAAGTGTTTCCCGTTTGAGAAAACTAAGCCTAGATGTGCAGGATTTGTGTTAAATGTATGTGAATGAATCATCCATGTATGTTTGCGACAGGGAAACAACATTAAACATAGATCAAAATATAGTGTAATATGGAAAATAGGGTTCATGCCAGGACTTAAATTATTATAGGTAAGTAAAGAGGAATAATAATTTAAGTGTAGCCAATAAAACTTAGATATCCAAATCTGTGGTAAATCATAGATTCTCTTTAATAATTTTCAGAAGAACTGGCCAATCATTAAAGGGTGATAAAAGTTCAGGATTTGTCCACCACCACAAATTTAATATACTAATAATATTAAATAAGGCTGTCTGTCATCAACAAGCGTAGTTACTAAAAGTTAAAAAACTATAGCAAAACATCCCAAATTAATCTTGTGCTTTGAAGGCTGTAGGCATAAATCAAGAACCTGAAATGCAAAAAGACAGCTGAACCACAATTTTGAGCTCTACAGCGAGAACTGCATCTGAACATTTGACTGTTACTTGTACAGTATACCATAAAAGCATCTTGATGACATTTTAAAAAAGGGTAGTTTGAAAGTATTGTTCTGATACTTGGCATTTATTGAAATCACAAATTTTGAGTAGAAAGCCAGTTTAAAATGGCATTTTTCTTAGTAGTTTCCTAGCAACAGTGACTAACAAGTTAACTATGACAAGGCTGTGCCATTTATGTGCATCAGCCATAGAGGGGAAGGAGGAAAAAAAAAAGGAAAAGGTAAAGTTCTTTCAGTTTAAGGCCAAGGACAAGTGAATTCAGATTGTGTTATTCATGGTTTTAATGCATAATTACTACTCATTTATTTCTCATTTGGAAGTACTAGCATAATGTGACTGCAAAATAATTAGATTAACCACTTCAACTGTAATTTTTACGTTCCTTCAGCCCGTAGGACAGAGTAGAGCATTATTTGTTTTTAATGGCAAACCATTTACACCAGAAATATGATGAATGATAATTACTTTTTTGACATTTAACTTACCATTTAAAGAGGTAGAAATCATACAGCTTTATGGGACATCTCAGTGGATTGTCAGGGTCCTCCACTTGTTCTGAATACATGTCGTCGGTCACTAAGTAAGAGACAAAAGTAAGATCAGAATTTCTATGATAATTTTTCACAGATCATTTAAAGAGTCAGAAGACGTACCCTTCTGCCCAATGAACCGCTCTGTGGCCTTCAGGTACCGAATGCTGGTGCTTTTGTCTTTAGGATTATTGGGACTCTTTCGTGTGTGTCTCAGCACTTTGGAAAAGGCCACTTTTAAATGTTGATCAATTGTTTTAAGGTGAAAATACCTGAAAAAACACAATAATAGAATCATTCTGATAAATAATGTGTGAGCAGATATCACTAAATTTGAAGTATTTTGCTTTATTACATTACAAATTATGCAGGGTTAACATTAAGCCAAATTTAAAGCTGGGATACTAATCTTTTCTCTTGTAAAATTATTTTGAGTTCATTGAGTCAGAACGTTATACGCTGTCTGTATGTGATAATGAACCACTAACCCGGAAGTAGAGCCACAAGCAGCCCTAGATTTGACTGGCCTTTGGACCGCCATGAAATTCATGCATGTGAATATTAACAATGTACAAAAGAGATTAAGATTTAAATAGATTTGCTCCTTATGGAATTTGAACATCAGGTAATGCAGTGTTTAATGGTGTTGCTTACTTTGTGTTGAAGAACATTAACGTTGTAAGTAACGTTGAGGGTGAGTGAGCTCCCAGCTGTTTACATTCCCACAGCATCTCCTCAGTCACATGACTGGGAATTACATAACCTGCGTGTAAAAATACACACAGTAAAATTACTTGGTGACAGTATTTAAATACATTTGTTTTGTAATGTAAAATCTTTACCTAGCGGATGAACACTTGGTCTCCATGGCTCCAAAATCTGGTGCAAACTTTGAGCAAACCGTGTATAGTACTGATCTGAGAAAATGTCATCCACTCGACCATTATCAAAAAGATACTGTAGAGCAAAAGGCAGTCAATTACAAAGTTCAGTTGATTATATAACTCCATAGTGAGTGGGCTTACTTTTTGCATGCAGAGGAAGATATAATAGAGGACATCTGCCTCATAGGACTCTCCTTCCAGTCCACGGGCTTCAGTTGTCATGTAACACAGGCCCAAGCAGAGCTCAGCTACTGCGCAAGACACTAAATCTTCCTGGAAGCGCAAGGCCTGGCGCCCTTAAGAGAGCACATTTTGCAGGAATTAATAAAGCAATAGCACAAAGAAAGCCACTTAAATGCTATATACTTACTTCCAATAGGAGCCAATTTATTTTGATCAGATTTATCCAAATCAGCATTTTTTCTCTGGGCCCACAGACGCCACACCTCCAGCCCTTCTTCTGGCTTCAATGTTGCTGGAAGCAGCAGCTCCTGAACGTGCACCTGCTGTTGGCCTTGGCCATCCACTTCTGCTACTGCCACAGTCTGGCCCTTCACAAACAAATGTTTATTTCAAACCAAATACTAAAAATATATAGAATACTGTATGAAAAGGACTTACAAATACCTGCAACTGCTGAGCCTCCTGCCCTGTCAGCCCTTGTGTATGCAGCACTTGCTGCTGGGGGTCCCAGATCAGGGACTGTGTGGCGTTGGAGTAGCCCTGTACTGCAACTGGGATGTGGATGTTCCCATTCATAAGCTGAGCAGGGAATAATGTATTTGTAGCAAGTGTGTGCACCACTTCCTCTTGTGCCCCCATCCCAACAGAGTTAGTTATGCTGGAAACAGCCTGAGCTGTGCTAGTCTGAACTGCATTATTTTTCAGTTTGTCATTTTCAACAGTAACTTGGGTGGGCATTGTTGTCATTGTTGTAGTATTAGCTCCAGCGACTTGAACTGCTCCATAAGCTTCTTGGGGAATGGCGATGTGTGTGACTTGCTCTCGGCCAGTGCCAGTGGGAGCCGAATAGACCGGGATGGTCCAAGTTTCACCTGTGGGGCTAGTGATGGTTCCTGTAGCACTGTACAAATGGGAGCTGTCCACAGTTAGGAGGTCAGGCCGCAGAGACACATAACTCTGCTGCTGACCTTGGCCCTGGGGAATGGCCAAGACTGTGGCCACCTGCTGGCCAGGCAGAGCATAAGACACTGTGATCGGCATGTCCACCTTGCGCTTCTTGGCAGGCTGTAAAACACCAGCTCCTTGGGATGTGGCTACAGTTGTCCCCAGCACCCTCCGTTCATTGTCCTGCTGCTGGGTTGGAGACAGTGCACCAACTGTCTGTATTTGAATCTGCTGCCCTCCTGCAACCGCTGCCACCAGCTGAGCTTGGAGCTTGACAAATAGATATTTGGGTTAAGTTACTGATTTGATCTATGCAAAATGGAACTGAGTGGACATGCCAGTGACACCAGCTACCTGTTGGTGCTGTTCCTCTGTGAGATCCCCAGGTTGAATTAGCTGTGCTGTTGTCACACCTTGAAGCTGTTGGTGGGAACCAGAAGGAACCTGAAGAACCTGACCCAGCATCTGACCTTGTTGTTGACCAATCTGCACCTAATAACAATAGATTATAAAGTTTGAGTTTATGTCATCTGAGACCCTTTAAACGAACAAAGCTCTCTTACACACCTGCACAATCTGCTCTGTGCCCTGGACTGTCTGTTGTTGTGAAGTTACCTCTTGTATCTGTTGCTGCTGAGATTGGACCTGAACCTGCACCTGAAAAACAAATGTCATCACTCAAATTATATTTTAAATGTCATACTGGATGTTGGATATTAGGGATTAGATATTTACCGGACAAGCCAATTCGAGGAGTGATCCTGCAACCTCTGTACTATCGGTGTAAATGCAGTTGGCCTCTTGTTGATACACCATAGTGGTAGTGGTAGTAGCAACATCTCCACTCTGTTGGGTGAACTCCTGCAGGGCATCAGGCCCCTTATTGGCCAAAGACTCCAAGAACTCTTTCATGCGATGTTGAGGGATGCTACGAGCCTTTTGTCGGACCAGCTCCTCGTAGGAGCCCGTACCATCCAGAGAGTTATTCATTACTGCTTTGCAATCTTCTGAAAATGGAATAAAGAACCGACAAATCCTTTAGGAGAGGTAGTGTAGCGCCTGAAGTTGTGATCAAATAGATTTGTTATTATGTCAGGAGGTACAGCGCTCCAGCAAGTAGAAATAGGAAAGGGTTAACTCAGTCCTGTGTGTACGAGCAGGGACAAAGCGCGGTCTCTTTCCAAATCACTAACACTACTCATAGCAGCCACCAACAGCGGTGCAAGGCGAAAAACATCTTAATAAATGACATTTAAGACAGTAAAAAATATTAATGTTTTGCCCATAACTCAAATGTATCCGCGTTACTGAAGTTAGCTGCATTAGAAGGCTAACTAGCCTCGTGTTTTAAACATACATCATTAAAACACACCGGTTTGAGACCCATCGCTTTAAATAACAAGCGACTGATAGCATTTGAACAGGGGAGTCTATGTTAAATATGTCAGCTGAAACGCACACAGATGCAAACTGTAATTCAATGCATTTTTATGCAGATGTGCTAGGGTTAGCATAACTCTTAGCTTAGCTACCTCTTTTCTTTCACGACCTCTTTTCTGTCGTCAGAATTGCGCTTCTTTTCCCGAAATTACGTAGCCCGGTGCTGTATGCTTTCAGTGCGTCTCTTGCGTATTTCCATTCGTTGTTTTAGATCGCTAGATGCATTTTCTTGATCACTGCCACTCATATTTCGCTAGGCGCCATCTTACAACCGTGTCCATGGACCAATAGGCGAACGATCTGTAACTCTGTTGTGTTGTCGCGGGATCTTCTTAGGCAAATATCGCGATAATTTGTTACTGAACGGGGCACATTAAAGGCGACGTTTACACGCGGATAGTGAAGCGAATGAGGAGGATGCCGGTCTACCTTAAAACACTGCTCTGCAGGGCAAACGCTGTCGTAGTGGTCACTCAACTTCTGATTCTTTTAAGGTCGTTCCATAAAGATACTCCTCAAGCAACTGAACAAACTTGTGAATTTTGGAGGTTCTGACCTTTCACAAAACACAGCATGTCCATAAACTGTGCATCTGAAAAACGCAATTAAGGTACCTGCAACCCAGATTCAAATGATTGTAGGTCCTTTTTTAACCCAGTAAATGCTCTGCCTACATATAGTTCTTTTAACTCCATTGACATTAAACCACATCTTTGTTTTAACATTATTATATAAAAGTCATTTCTTTACATGAGATTTATAATAGGAACAATTTAAACATTTAGGAAGCAGAAAGGGTTTAATATAAATAAAAGTTTGCTTCATACTTAAATTGGCAGAAATGCTTTCAAAGTTAACAGCATTATTTATTTAAAAAATGCTTATTCAGACATGGTGGTCCAATGTTACATATTTAGTAGCAATCTCTATGTTAACCGTAGGCTCGAGGAAGGCAGTGGTATATGGCTTCATCTCAGTTATTCATATCTTTCCTGGGTCTTCTTTAAGGGTAACTGTTCTGTTGAAGACAAGCTGCAAAAAAGAAAGTAACTCTATTCAGCATAACAATATGACCACATAGATCACACAACAGACATGACAAGATCACAAAAAATTACAGTTTTAAAGATGATACATTTAGCCTAGCTAAGATAATTTGCTTTATCTGTTAGAATAGCAAGACAACTACTATTTTGTTTAATGCCTTGGGTTATGTCAAACTTAATCCCAAAGGCGAACACAGCATAAAGAATAATCTTGTATTATTAGTTCAAATTTCAAATAAAACAAGACCAGTTCAAAATAATCGTAAATGAAAACCTGCATGAAAAGATGCCATTACTGTACCTTGTCGGCTGTGCTGTCAGGATCTAGCGAGAAATACCCAACTCTCTCAAATTGAAATTTGTCAAATACTTTTGCACCCTTCACCGAGGTATCTATGAAGGCACTGCTGATAGTTTGCAGGGAGTTCTGGAAAAAAAAACAACAACATAAAAATAAAAATGGCTGAAAAAGAAATGGCTGAAAAAGAAAGTTTGTTTTAAATAATACTCACAGGGTTTATATCACTCAGGAAACCACCGGGTACCTCAGAACTATCTTCTGGATGTTTGTGTAAAAACCTGAAATGTCAATGCAAACAAAATAAGCACAGCCAATGATTGTTTAAGTATTGTTAATGGGAACTTACAGTCTCTCGTAGAGGCGGACTTCACACGCCAGGGGCTCACTGACCCAGTGAATAAAAGCCTTGGGTTTTTGATTTGCCTCCACTGAGGTCGAACTGCAGCAGGTCACCTCCAGCTCAACAATGTTTCCCTGAGCATCCTGGGAACAAAATCAACAAATGATAAAGTGAGAGCTGTTTAATTACAGTGTTACAATACCTGTAACATGTAGCTACTAGCTACAAATTACTATAACCATGTGTCACAATATAATCATTTAAAAATTACCATTGATGCAAGTGCATGCTTTGTTAACTTTAGTTCATTCATTCCAAATTAGAATAAGAAATAAAAATGCAAATAAGAATAAGACTTACCTTGATGATCTTCTGAGCATATATGATGTATCCTGCATGCCTTAGGCCTACTGGTTGGTCCGGTGTTAAACGTTTATAACCCTTCTCCATAACCTGTAATAGAGTTTAATAACATAAGCCAAGCCAAAAAGCTGTTACATTTTTATAAACTTTTGAGATTTTTTTTTTCCTTCTATCACCTCTCTAAAGTCACTCTGCTCGATGTAGATCGTTCTTGTAAAGGGCACTTTGTGGCTGCCTTTGGCCTCATTTGCAGGAAAGTCTGGTACAGTCACATCCAACTATAAAAAACAAGTAATCAACCATTCAAGTGCCTCTTTATTATCTTTACTATATTACAACTTCTGCGAATATTTCCACAAACCCTAAAATCTTCAGGCAGATTGGTTATGGTGACTTTGAGAGGCTCAAGCACAGCCATCGCTCGTGGTGCGGTCTCATTTAACACATCACGCACACAGGACTCCAGCAGGTGGGGCTCAGTCGTCGTCTGAGAAACAGTTACTCCAACCTATTGGTAAAACCAAAAGTGGCCATAAATCAAAAATATGTACAGAAAAATACAGTAGTCTCTTAATATATACAGGTCAAGCATAAATACACCAAGGAACTAGTTAGAGATATAGTATTTGAGGTTTTTAACAGATGATTATAGATAAGCCATATTTGATCACTGTCAACAACAACATACCCGCGCACAGAAGTTATTTATCGCTTCTGGTGGGAAACCTCTCCGCCTCAAAGCGGTCAAAGTGAAGAGACGAGGATCATCCCAGTCTCTAAGAATGGGTAAAAAATAATGCACCATTAATACACAAATAAAAACAAATAAATCCTCATATTGTTTGGCATAAATACACAGAGTAAGTCTTTCACCTGACTGCTCCAGTTTCCACCAGCTTAATAATTTTCCTCTTGGACACAACAGTGTATGTGAGGTTTAGACGGCCATACTCCCACTGCACAGGGCAGTACACATCCAGAGCATTACATAGCCAGTAATACGAAGAACGTCTGGAAAAAACAATTAAACATATTTTTAGTCTATTTGTCAATTGAGGAAAAAATATCAATATTAGGAACATATAATGCGCACCTCGCTTGAAACTCTTTGGTACAGAGAGAGTGTGTAATATTTTCAATAGAATCACACAGACAGTGAGTGTAGTCATAAGTGGGATAGATGCACCTGGAGGAGAGAAAGAAATTAGTTAATATAGTCATTAATTTAAGAATTACTATGCAGCTAATTCATTCATTAATTACACATTGAACTACACAAAATAATGAGCTAAAAATATATATCCCCTACCATTCGTCTCCGGTTCTGTGATGTGGCGTGTATTTTATTCTGTAGGCAACTGGGTCCATCTTTCCGTCCTCCATCACCATCTTCATTCTGAGTGTAGCCTCTCCCTCTGCAAACAGCCCCTTCTTCATCCGCTCAAACAAAACCAGAGATTCCTCAATGGGACGGTCTCGCCACGGAGATGGAGGAGGATTGTGACCCTTAAGCTCCTCACCTTTCTGGTGGCAAATGTATGCATGGCCTCTGTAATAATAATGGATTTAGTTAGGCATGAGCATAGTGTAGGTAACAGCTTTGAGTAATGAGTATACCAACCTGCGAATAAGCTCCACAGCAAGGTCATACAGTTTCTGAAAGTTGTCAGAAGCATGCGTCACTTCATATGGTTTGTACCCTGAGCAAACCAATATAAAAGGATTACAAACGTTTTAAAATAGTAATCATCATAAAAACTTTTCAATATGATGCTGCAGCTTTATGCATTCATTCCTCTGTTACACCCGTAAAGCCATCTCTGTATCATAGCTTCCCTGCCGTGTCAGGTAAGGCAAAAGGTTGAGGTGTGTTTCCCATGGACACAATGGCAGTATACTATGACACACATAAGATGGGATCAAGCCACACACCTTTGGATTACTTAGAAAAAGCCTCAACTACTTACTGTTGTGTGATACAGTTGTCATTACTTATAACAAATCAATACAGTGTACCATTTATCATCACAAAACAATACATTTTACATAAACAGTCACAGTTGGTTCATAAACGTAACTGAAAAAGTAATGATATATACATACCTAGCCATTCAACCATGTCCTTTATGGCAGTAAAGTATTTTTCCTCTTCTTTTTCAGGATTTGTATCATCATATCTTAAGAAGCAGATTCCATTGTTGGCCTGCAAAGAAAGGGATACATATGTCATAAGTTTCAGGGTTTTTGTAATTAAACAGATTAATAGTAAAACAAAGGGAACGTACTGACCTTGGCATACCCAAAGTTAAAGTTGATAGCTTTAGCATGTCCAATATGAAGAATACCATTGGGCTCTGGTGGGAAGCGGGTACGAATCTAAAAAGAAAAGGAGTTACGGCATATTACTGAATTATCTTTAGCCTAGATGCCTAGCCATATAGTACATTTGCTTTTTGTTTTTTTAAATGATTTTTATTTGAATAAGTATTTGTAAACTGTCTCCATGTACCTGTCCACCTGTATATTCCAGATGCTTTTTCAAAAGGGCCATTGTATTAGGAGTAACCACATAACCTTCAGTCGTATAGTTCTCGCCTGTAAAAAAAAATATTGCTAGGAGTTAGAAAAATAGATAAACAAAGTAAATATTTGTGAATAGGTTTAGACCTGGAGGTTTACCTGGTTTGTGGAATTTGAGGGCTTCTCCTCTCAACTGCTCCATGAGAGATTTGCCTTCATATGGTGCTTCACCTGATCAACATACATTTTAAAATCAATATAATGTGCATGATTATTATAATCTTAACCTCCATATCTTCCTTACCATTTACAGCAACCTCCTCTTTCTTTACTTTCACCTCATTGTCAGATTTAGTTTTAGGTGCCTAGAAAATGTTTCTTCAATTAGAGGACTCCCAAAACTCAGTATGTGTGAAATAACTAGGATTGACTTCTTTTTCTTTTTTTTTTACCTTTGGTTTCTTCTCAAGGTCAGATTCTGTCTTGGGTCCCAGGAGATGGAGCACCTTTAGGAACACAACGCAGTTTATGATTATGAACAATGCCAGTGAAATAGTGAAACTGACATTTTATATGTATTTAACCAACCTGCATGTCAACCTCATTTTTGATTACTTTTCCATCTGCCCATTTAAGAGCAGCTCGAGCAGCCCCTGAAACACACAACACAATACAACGTAAGACAATGGAATTGTGTGGTTACACTCAAATAAGCAAAGTGACAACCAACTGAGCAAACAAAATCCTATATTCAAAGATTTAATTTTAAGTAAATAAAGTAATTAAATAAATGATAACTTGCTGATAAAAAGCAAATAAAGTTTACCCATCAGCAGTCCCATATTGAAGCGGTACCTCTCCTTTAAAAGCTTTTCCTTGTGCTTCTTAATAACAGACTCCACCTGTAAATACGTACATAAGCAAATCCCATACCGCAAAGAGATAAATTAAAGTGACTTAAAGACCCAGTTTACATACAGCTTCCTCAATTTGCTCTGGTGTTATGACCACGCCCACTCCACAGTCATCTTCAAACTCCTTCTGGTTAATTGGATCATTGGGGTGGCTCTTCACATACTCCAAGGCCGCTGCAAATATGAGAAAAGTTTGCAGAATTTCACAGGGCCCCTTTTGCTTTTGTACACTTCTAAAGAATGCATGACACTTCCTCTGGTAGTTGTGGTTTAAAATACAGTTTCTTTTTGTCAAATAGTCTAGTCAACACTGCTTTGCACCATCATCAACATAATATGAAATTACCAGTGGAGACTTGTCAGAAATGTCAGCTCTTACCTGCCAGTTGCAACTCTGTGTTGATTTTACGATGGGCAATCATGTCAGTGAGGAATGACAGGCGTTTTCCATCTTTGAGGCGAGAAGCCATGCTGTAGAGCAAGGTGCCCATGGCTTTGTCCACCCCAGACCCTCCATGTACTTGCTGTGCCTGAACAAAACAACAAAAAATAAACAAATTATTTAGTTTTATTTTGAAAGCTGCTAAATATTTTCTTTATTTAGGTTTAGAGGTTTATGTTCTTTGTTAATTGATCATTACCGTTACAAATCATCATGATAAAACAAAGATTGGAATACTTGATCACAAGCATTAATGAACTTTACAACTCCTCATCTACAATAGTAATACAAAAACTTGCTATAACTTTATTAGACAAGTCAAGACTAAAGACAGAAGTGCAGTACACATGTAAATGGAAAATGTTTGTTCACTAAATTAGTAAGGGGCACTGGTAACCTCGATGTCAGTCACGCCTAGTCACAGCTGTCCACGTCCACTTCTTCTGTCATTAGACATGATTATTTTACCTGACCAATGGCTTCCTTGAGAGCACCACTCAGCGCTTCATTCTTCACAGTTTCTTTCGCCTTCTGCTCAGTAAGTCCAATAGAGGTGAAAAGCGTCAAAATGTCTTCCATTTTCCACCGTATTTACCGGCTTTCTCGGTGCCAGACACGCCACCACCACTCACGACTTATCTCACCGGAGAGAAAGAGCACGGGCGACTTCCGGTAAAACATTTGACACTTATGAAAGACATCAAAACTAGCCAATCAATTGTGGAGGATAGCAACAGCGTTGACCAATCAAAAGTGGGAACTGAGCTACATAGCCAATAAGCGTTAGTGTTGACATCCTTGGGGGCGGGTTACAGAGCTTTTGAGTAAAATTGCATCAGATTTTTTTTTTTTTTTTTTTTTTGTATATAGATCACAGTTTTGCTTTCACTAAATCCAGGTTTTAGATTGCACCAGTTGCATATACTGGATCATGGACTTTTATGCGTTACATTTTACGTTGAATTATTTACGTGAGCTGTGTAGAAAAACTCCGTGAAAGTTTTCGACTTCCAACACGCGGCGCACAGCTGAAGCAAAACGCACAGCTTCAGTCAGTGAAAATCATGTGGCCGTGCTAGTGTGGTTTCTTGTTCCTCAATGTGGTATAACGTTGTAATTAGTGCAGTGCCGTGCTTTATTTTCTGTTATGTCAATTGTAAATGTGTTTATATAATATTGGATAGTTTAGCAGCAGCTTAGCACGCCTAGCTTACAATGGCCAATTTGAGTTTACGGAGACAAATGTGGAGATCTCTGGAGCTGGCGACGGCCGAGCTGCGCCTGGAGCTCACCCTCGCTTGTGGACAGTCGTTCCGGTAAGTTGAGAAAGACTGGTAAATCAACATGATGAACTTAAATGAGGGCACTTTTGTTTTTACTTCTCTTTTGAGTGGGGTGACCACACATCCCTATTTACCCTCTACAGTCCCAGTTTTGAGCCCTGTGTCCCCTGTCCCTGCAGATTTATCCAAAAGTAGTGATTTGTCCCAGTTTTACACAAGAAATGTCCCAGGTGTCCCTATTTTTGACCAGTTTGGTTTGAAAAAGAAAACAAAAAAGCTGCTTAAAAATGACCAAAACACAAAGAAAACGTCACTGCACTGACTCACGTTAGTCATAAATGGGCCGAGTGTAGAACAGTTCTCCTTAATTATTCATTTCACAATTTTATTATTACCAACCCCTCCAACTGAGTGTGTTCCACTTTTTGATTTTGAAATTATGGTCACCCTACATGTTTGTTTTACTTTTACTTCTCTTTTGAGGTGTAATTTAAAGTAGCCTAATAAACCAATCGAAACTGGTTTATATGGGTTCCCACGGTCATGAAAATCCTGGAAAATTAATGAAAATTGAAAATGTCATTCTCCAGGCCTGGAAAAGTTATGGAATTTTAGTATCTCTTTCACGGAACTACAGTGTTCTGTTAAGTTATCATTAGGCTATTATGATTATTTCCGACTGTATGCGCCTTTTGTTTAAAAGACACAGTAATAAATGCACTGACAGTATTTTGAATGTTAAAAAACTATAAAACCAAACCATAAGGTGAGTGGGAAGGGTTAATAATCATATTTAGTCCTGTAGTATGTTTAATTCTACACATGTAGGTACCATAAAGTCATGGAAAATTCACTTTAGGTCTTGAAAAAGTCATGGAAATGTTTTGAAATTTTGTTAGTGAAAAAGAGTGGGAACCCAGTGTGTATATATATATATATATATATATAAGTCTGTAGTTGTGATGCACATATGTAGACTATTTTATTATTGCTGTTTTTATTTGACCAATGTTGTGCATACAAAATTACTTGACCTCTATGTATCTTTGGGTGTTTTTTCCTTACAGTTGGAGAGAAACAGCTGAGGGCCACTGGACTGGAGTGATGGGTGGACGGGTTTGGACATTAACCCAACTAAAAAACCAACTGTGGTACTATGTTTATGAAAAGCAACAAGACACTGCTCATAAGAAGTGGACAGAAGAAGACTGTGAACCTGAAACTAAATATAAAGTTGATGTGAAGGCTGAAGGACATGCCTACAGTGAGGAAGAGAAGCTGTTGAGGGACTATTTTCAGCTGAATGTTAATTTTGAAGAGTTATACAAAGACTGGGGAGAGAGAGATCCTCATTTTAAAAAGCTTGCTGATACATTTTCAGGTTAGTTTATATGCATTTTTTGTGAGCTTTAAGCCATGTTATAATGTTGTTACCTCCCCAAAAACATACCCGGACTTCTGTGTCATTCCCACATGTTTGAGTAATCCTTTATTGTTTGTCAGTCTACATTTCCAAAGCTCAAAATGCTCTGTTCAACCTTGTGATGTCATGAAGCCATAGATTTCAAGTTTACAAATACCTTTTTACCTTTAAGTCAGTAGAGATAGGCAGTTCCAGGGTTGAAAATATTCAAATGATTCTAGTGAAGGTGTATGGAGTTTAAAAACACAGTGGAGCACTTCCTGTATTATCACATTGACCTCACAAATATGCAGGGTTTGTGTGAAAGAAACAAAACACAACTCCAGATAGGGATGTGATTAGGAAACATCATTATAACATAGATCAGAAAATAGAGTAATATGAACCCTTTAAAATGTCCAGGTGTGCGAATGCTCCGGCAGGACCCAACAGAATGCCTTTTCTCTTTCATCTGTACATCCAACAACCATATTTCTCGGATCCAAGGGATGGTTGAGCGGCTGTGCCAGACACTGGGCACCAAGCTGTGCCAACTGGATGAAACCTCTTATCACGACTTTCCCACCCTCTCGACTCTAGCAGGTGGTTTATGCATTTGTTAATATAGCTTTGTAATTTTAAATCTATTACTTCTGAAAACTTACCAGCATTAAATTGTGAAATTATAAATAGTCAAAACAATTATATGATAATTAAATGATCATATGTGCTTCTACCTTCTGTTACAGAATCCAATGTTGAGACGTGTTTAAGGGATCTTGGTTTTGGATATCGAGCTAAGTTCTTGCAACAAAGTGCTAAGACAATTCTTGACTCACATGGACCTAACTGGCTCAGTGGTCTCAGAAATGTTCCATATTGTGAGGCACGCGATGCTCTCCGCACTCTTTCTGGAGTGGGAACTAAGGTATAAGCATTAAACAGAATGTTCTTTGTTTACTGATGTTTCTGTATATAATTTAAAATGCTTGTGTTTACCTGTAGGTGGCAGACTGTGTGTGTCTGATGTCTCTAGATAAGCCAGAAGCTGTTCCTATTGACACACATGTCTGGCAGATTGCCAAACGTGATTATAAATTTGTTTCCAGTCATGGTCAGAAAACTATTACAGACAAACTCCACAGAGATATTGGTCAGTATGCTTTAAATATGTATAATCTGTAACATTATTTACACCATTTACATGAATAATACTTTGGTAATTCTATACAGGTGATTTCTTCCGAAACCTGTGGGGCCCTTATGCTGGATGGGCACAGTCAGTAAGTAAATACAACAGCTTTATTGGCCTAGAGATAGATTGGCTTTGCATGGTCATATAATTACGCTCTCACACTGTTTTAGGTCTTGTTTTGTTCTGACCTCAAGAAATTTCAAAATCTGAAGCAGAAGCCAGTCACAAAGAAGCTGAAGCGAGAGATCAAATGTGAAGACACTGATAAAGAAACAATTCAAAGAAAAATTATAAAACAGGAAAATAATAAGAACAAAAGGCCAGTGTCAAAGAAGACCACAAAAACATCTGTGAAATGAAGAGGTATTCTTGCAATGTCTCTGGAATCCACTAGAATCTTTTAATACATGTTTGATAAGTTTACATTGCAATTCAAACTAAATGCTATTTTCAAATATTTCCACTAGACGGCTGTATGCATTAATGAAGTTATTTATGCAGATCTGTTGTAAAATAGAGAGATTTTTTTTTATAATAAATGTGTCTTATAATGAAAATTTCTTACTTCCTTTCTCTATATTTCATTAGATTTGAGCAATAGTCTCTCATATGGGAAACCTAAAGACATTTTATTTATAATTATCATGTCTTGTGTCATAAAGACTACTGATGCAATACCCTTGTTTATCTATAGTCAAGGCTTGGCTGTGTCAGCTTTAGAGCAGCTTTTGCAGTTCTCGGCTGTTTATGCAGGCACCAAATGGGACTTCAGTGCAAATGTCCCAGGCTTTTGTTTAAGCAGCAAAGTGTTTTAACAAAGCAGCGAAAGTGCAAAACTGGACCACCTAGAAGTAACAGATGCAAACACAGGAAGGCCAAACTAACAAAACAAATTTAGCTGCGAAACTCTAGGAGCACCCTCCTACATAAATATGCATCCTGACATTTATTTGGGTTATAGTTGTGCTCTCAAGCAATTTTGCAAATTTACCCTTATTCTCTGTTTATTTCGGTGTCAAAAAATACCCCAGATCTCTTTTATGAGAGCAAAGGTCAGAGGTAAGCAGTGTTATGTCAAATAATACTCAAATATGAGTTCAAAAACATATATGAATTACAGCCGGACTGATATATCAGTTGTCCGAGATTATTGGTCGATATGGGCACCTGGAAGCATATCGCCGATGGGCCGATATATTTGCTGATATGGGCCGATATTTCATGTGGGCATGTGATACGTCGTTATAAAGCTTAGACTCTCTACATTATGTTAATTTAATCCAATTTACAGACAGATAAATGTCCTAATATGTGCCTCCGCATCAGTATTTATCTGCGGAGTCATTTGTCTGTGTGTGTGTCCGTACTGTCCCTGAACACACCCCCAGAGTCACGACACTCACGTGCTCTTGTTTACAGATTTACAGGTTTACACCCGCAGCCACGGATCCAGAGACTGAGATTATATTCTTTTTACTGACAATCGGTTTGAGTCTGGATTAAAAGGAAATTTATTAGTGCAGACTTGTGATGTGAGGAGGAGCCCGTGTGAGCGGTGAGTGTTGGAAATATGTCGACTTTGAAGCTAGTTTTGGTTATTTGTTACGGGTTAGCGATTAGCTGCTGTAGCTCCCGCACATAAACAGGCTGTTTTCTATTGGCCTATAGTAAAGTGACTATATTGGCCATATATTTGTTACTGGACCAGCATTGATATGTAAATGAGCTGTGGATAGAGGTGTGAATGATGACATTTAGCATATAATTAAATAATAGCGTTACTTTACTTTCTTTACTGGCTAGTAGTGATGGGTCGGCTCTTAGAGCCGGCTCTTTGAAGTGAACGACGGGAGCCTGCTCCTTATTGGGTGCTGTATTTTCTCTTTCACCCTCTCTATTTCTCTCACTTTTTTTCTCTTCATGCCGCATGCAGACCTGTAGTTTGACAGCGGGCTGCGGCTGAAAACGAAACTTTCAGAAATATGCGTGTGCGTAGGATAGAAAAAACTTGCATATTTGGCTGTAGTTCAGCATAAAATAAAACCAGGACTAATCTTGGGCTCGAGAGAGGGAGAGACACTCAGTCCTGGTTCAGTTCTGGTTTAGTCCTGCTTGCAACAAAACGATCTGAAGAGCCGAAAGAGCCAGATGCTTTTAGTGATTTGAGCCAAAAGAGCCAGTTCTCTAAAAAGAACTCGAATATCGATCACCAATAGCTAGAATGTGATGCAAAAATGCCATTAGGCTGACCTACTGTCTGTAAATATGACGTAAAGAGGCAGAATAACAATAAATGTTGCCTAAATAAACCCAATTTAAAATCCACTAGAGCCAAACCTAAGTTTTTTAAACAATTCAAGATTTACAGTGAATTTTTACATCACTAAATATATCGGCGATTATGTCGGCTATCGGCAGCTCCGACTCCCATTTTAACTGTATCATATCGGCCGCAACAAAATCCATATCGGTCGGGCTCTAATATGAATTAAAATGATAACAAATAAAATGGATCTGATTATTGCTTCATGAATGAATGAATGAAAACTTGTGTGTATACCTGCATATTATAAGAGGTTCCAAAGAATGACCTAGTCTTGTCTGCGCAGGTGCCTGTGCCGTTGCCTCAGCTGTTTGTCGGCCTGTTTTCATGTCATCTACTGAAGAGGAGGTTATTTGTGGCTCCCGGTGCAGCCACGTGTGATAATGCACATATGAGTCAGCCTTTATGCACTCTCCTCTCAAGTAGAACACAAACCATGGGCTCAGCTTCAGGGCAAAGTCAGGCAGTGAAGACCATCAGAGGTCACCGGGGGTCAAGATATGTAAAATATGAAGAAAATGGTGAACACGCACTTGGAGTAAGATTCAAAATTACACAAATGAAGAGAATGTGTTGGCATGTATGTTACATAAGAGATGGGATTTTAAATGTCTTCCTTTAAGCAGAGGAGAGTGTGGGGCTTTTGTTGAAATTTTGTGGCCTTGAGCACCAGAGGGCAGTATTTACGGGCAAGTGAATTAATTTCAAAGTTAGATAGTCAGCTTTCCACACAAGAAAGAGGGAAAAAATGTCCAAACTACAAAGTGTGCTATGTTTTTTTTACCTTTTTGGGTGGTGGCAGTAGTAGTAAATATTTGAAGTGACGTAAGTTTAAGTCTATAAAGAATCAGCTTCTTTTGATTAGTTAAGGTGGACTTCCTTTTTTTATGTAGGTACACAGACATCTTGATTTCGATCTTAAACTCCTGTCTCCTGTTTTTCTTTCTTAGCTTTTCTGAAAGGCTAATTTCTGTCTGGTGTTAGATTTCCAAAGGCCCCTCAGGAATCAATGTATTCACATTCCTGCTCAGAGATGTGAAGACAAAACTGTAACCATAGTAGCCTATTATATGATGTGTATGGTTAAAAGTACTTATCATCAAATTTGATAGTAGTACTGGTAACAGTATGTATAAAAATAGTATTAAGTAGTAGAAGTAGTCTATTATGAGTATTATCTATTAGTTGTATCACTGGTTATAGTGGCAGTATACGGCGCTCAAACAGTGTAGCACGTCTCACAAAGAATTATTTTCACGTAGATTTGTTTTTGTTTGCTGTTGTATCCTAATTGCATCAAGAAAGATCATTTGTTCATGTGTAAACATAACTGGATAAGTAGGACCCAGGACCTCTCACAGTTTGCTCCACTGTTCCTGTACATGACAAATGTCTTCAAGAGATAATTTCAATCACTTATAATAATATGATTCATAATCCATGTATATAATATGATTACAAAACAGAGCAGTAGTGTTTCCACCTGTGCTGTTTTTCCCTCACTGTGTCTCTGCTGCCTCAGTGCAATGTAATGACATTAGGGCAATCCTCTGAGCTGCAGCTATTTTTGGAACTAATGAACATGAAGGAAGAAAACTGTGACAATAACTCACACTTCATACAATCATAATCATAAAACATGCTCAAAATCAAAACATTACCCACAAAAAGTAGAATTCAGAAGGATCACATGCTGGAAAAAAGCAGCATTCATTTGAAGAACTGTTACTAGTATAAATTGTTCTAATGTCACAATCAAAACCCACACCCCTTGCATTGTAAGACCAGACAAAAATACACACTTTTCCAGTATGAAGATAAGAGATTTTCTGTACAGAGAATATACAGAGAACCAGTCTGGATCCTAGGCAAATTTACGTTTGTTGTGTTAGATTTTTTCAGTTGAAGAAATCTATTTCAGTTTTAGTTTTAATGCTGGCATCTAGTTCACTTTCATTCTCTACTTTTGACAACCCTTTAAAATTCCGGTAGGCCTATACTCTGCATGCTCAAACACGTCTGTATTGTCCAGTCAGATATGGGCCCGGATAGCAGATGAAGACAAGGCACGGAGTTTTGTGCAGTGGAGGAAGAACAGTATCAGTTGGTTCAGGGTGACTCTGTTACAAACGCTGATAGAGGACACAGTAAAGGAGAGGAGCTAGGGTTTCATGGGACAAAGATGTGCCCGCTTGTGTGAGCTCCAGACTCCTGCTGATTTATTCCCATCAGCTGCCATTATTTATTTGCACATGACACTCCCAATATGCAAAACCATTAACCTTCCAAACTGCACTACGCACTGCACTGAACAACAAGCGCACGCGTTTTGTGATCCAGGCTGTGTCGACACACCTCCACGAGACCGACTTGGCTGCTTTGTATTGTTTTACAGATTAGTCAATGATAAGGCGCTCTCGTTCTTACAAGCTCCAGATCCACGCGTGGCCGTTGCGTAATTCTGTACGCGCCAGGCAGACGTATGCATGGCCAGTGATAGGTGGGTGGGTAGGTAGTAAGCAGGCAAGCCGATTGTAGGAGGAAAAAACGAGGGAGGGGGAATTGTGGGTATGGATGGAGGAGTAGAGGGGGCCGTGCATTTTAGCGACTCGTGGCTAGAGACAGAGCTGGCAGCGGGACAACAAGCCAAAGCGCAACCTGCCTGTGCGTCGAAAGAGGAGCGTTTTTAACCCCCAAACAGTAGGATAATGCGGCAAAAGGACGGACACCGGATCGCGTTATTAACTGCGTGAATACGTCCTCGGAGCTTTGAATTTTGCTGCAGAGGACGCCATCAGATCAGGAGGCACACAAAAAGAAGCAGGTACGTGTGGGAAGGCGAGGGAGACGTACCTGTGCCGTGAATGAGCGTTTGACGCAGGTTCACAATTGGGCTAATGGCTAATTTATGCGACACTTGAGGGGGGACTATGAATTACACCTACTTTAGCATCCTTGACCCTTTTGTGTTGTATTTGAGTGGCAAATAAACAGCATAGCACTTATCATTCCCCGTAGCCTTTAATAGATTATAGCCTTTAGTGCTGCTTTTGCTTTAAACCAGCTGAAGTCTGGGTCCGTCAAAACAGTGTTGATTTTCTACCACCTCATCCTTAAATTGCAATAAATGATTTACAATAAGATAACAACCTTAACTCAAATATGTGCATTTTTAAAATCTAAAAAGTCATACAAAAGTTATCAGCTCGTCTTTAAAAATACGAAAATGCCAGTTCCTCTCCAGCTGTCTCCTATTTAGCCTGTTTATTGTCATTATTAGTTTTCTGATGCATGTGCAGCTGTCTGTCTTACAATAGAAAAACAAACCACTGAACAGAAGACAGGTGCTCCAAATGTTTAATTGCCTTTTGGTATCCTGGAATGAGTCCTAATAGGTTTATAATAATGTAATTATTTCTCCTGAAAAAGAAAGAAAAGCTACATTATGCTCTAACCAATACAGACTGTAAGATTGCTATGTTCAAATTACTGTCTATACCAAAATATAAATGAATGTCCTATTGTAAGTTACAGCTACAGGATTGATTGATTTATTACTAAGCTCAAATTCTCTGTTCCACTTTGTGATGTCATGTAGTGGCATTTTTCAAATTAACAGCTACATTTTACCTTTTGTTCAATAGAGATTTACAATTTTGGATATGACATTATTCATAGTTCTGGTGATGGTGTGTGGAGTTTAAAAACACAGTGGAGCACTTCTTGTATTACCACATGACATCAGAAGGTGGAACAGTCTGGTTGAGAGAAGAACAAAAACAGAGAGCCTAAATATGCAGAGTTTGTGTGTTAAATGTGTGAATGAAACAAAAAACAGCTTCCTCATCACAAACAAGGCATGTTTGTGAAAAGGAAACAACATTATAACATAGATCAGCAAATAACGTAATATGGGCCCTTTAAATTAGGCTATTTGTTTTAACTTTCCTTTGGACAAAGAAGATCAATATTATAACATTATGTCTCTTACACCTTAGATATAAGCATAAAGTGCACCCAAGACTGTACCATTTTATTGAAACCAGCTGTAACAATGAAAAGAGCATGGAGGTTTACAAGGTGGCGTTAATGAGGAGCAATGTTTGTAATGTGTTTTCCTTGCTGTGGGTATATGGTTTAACAGTTATGTGACCACTGATGTAACCATTTTCATTTAGATTGCCATTTTAACTTGAGTTTGGTTCCACAACCTTGTCTATGTTTAGATTCTGTTTTATGGCGGAACTTTAAAAAGGCAGGAGGCTGAAGCTGAGGATCTTTAGGTTGTTTTTGTAAAGAGGATGGAGATGCTTTATAATAAGAGACAAAACTTTTTGACATATTAATCAAAAATAATAATAACACTTGTGATACTGATGTAGGGCTGATGTGGATTATTTTCCCCAAACTCAGCCAAAGCCATTTTTTTTTATCAGTGAAGTTTTATGTAATTATCTGTTCTCACTGTTCTAATATGTGAATTCTCTGGGCAGCATATTGACCCAAACAAAATACCGGCCTATGATGGAGATTGAAGGCCGATAGCTAATGCGATAAAAAGCAAATATCAGCCTATCAGTATATCTCTGACACTGACGCTGAAATTAGAGCTGTCATGTGTAGGTTTTAAAGGTTAAAAGGATGATTAGCTGTAACTAATAGCTATGGCCATTAAATTCTATGGTTACATCATCAGCTATTACTGCTACAAAATCACTAAAATAAACGCATAAAAGGACTGATGTAGCTGTAGATGATGTAGATGTAAGGTTGTGGATTTATGGGTTTTATAATGGCCAATGGGTACAACAGATTTTGATTATTTTTGCCAAATTATGTTATTTTAATTCATGACAAATTCACCTATAGTTCCTTTTTATGACAAACCTTCAAGGGGGCTGCCTTACCACGTTTTTAGCAGTGTTAACCTTTAAAAATAAAGCTTTGTGTTCTCTTACAAAGCACACTGTTTATCTCTTCTTTTTACTATGACAACCTCTATAGGAGAAAAAGATGAAAGCTAATTAGGATAACATGTTAATACCATAGATGAATGCTACCATATGTGCACTGGGGTGTTTCTGTCTAAAATGGAGTTGGGGTACAAGCTTCACTCCTGATTCCTGACCCCTTAGCCTTTGATCTGTGCTCTGGACAGGGGCACAGTGTCACTCGAACTGCTTGTTATTGGTCTCAGCACTTTTAAGTTGGACATCCGTTTTTCCACTGGGGATCCAAAGCCTCACGATTGGTTCTAGATCTTCTTCACTTCTTTCGAGTGTGACCTGACCTGAGCTGTGTGTGGGAGGCAGTTTTAGTGGGGACTCCCCATAGAGCAGCAGAGGAGCAGGTTAGAGGTGGCTCTTTTAATAGGATTGGGGTGGAAACAGAAGGTTTTGGCAGTGCAAATTCCAATGTGGCAAGGTCAGGAGCTGATCTCCTCTGGCACATGTATTGAGAACCATGACAATACAACAGGGCTATCCAAACTTTTTTCATCAAGGGCCAGGGGATCAAATGAGGACCACAGATGGTGGCCATACAGGGAATAATTAAAATATGTGCATTTATAGCAGGTTAGAATGAGTCACCAGACTTTTGTTCATGTTTAGATCCTCAGTATGACACACAAAATATCTGATATCAGCTTTATCAAGATAGATTTTCCAAAACTTGGAAAGTATTTTTTAAAGTAATATGGGCCAATTCAGCTATTATTTATTACTGCATATTAATACCCCAAGTAGGCTATGAATTGGCATAGGTTTACCAGATGTACTTTCAGATGCAATCCTCTAGTTTCAACTACAGAAACTAGAACTACTCCTGGTACTTTGCCTTCTCCTACTATTACTACTACAACTGCAGTTACTAGTAATGCAATGGCAATATTTATTTAAGATGCATCAAAATCACGGCTTTACACGCCCTATTGCAAAACAACCACATATTAGGGTATCAACAAGAAGATACTGTATTTTTTATAATCCATACTGTATGTTATTTCAAGGTGTGGAATTTCCAACGGTCAGAGCAGTGACCACCCCCATACGCCCACATACCAGCGAAACCACACATACCCACCCATACTCTTTCCCTGTGCGTTCTGTACTGACTGAAGTACTTTACTATGTCTCTGCCCCCTACTCCACACAAACAAGTTACTCATCTGCAGAGAGAGCCCTGAGCAGCTGTACACTACTGCACCATGACACATCATTATAGGAAAATCTGTCATTAGACCAAAATGCTATTGTGCAAGGTAATTAACTTGCATCATCTCTCTGTGTATTATGGGAAGTTTTATAAGCATGCATTTGTAGATAATTAAAAGTCCTGACACTTGTGAGCTTTAAGCCATGTTATAATGTTGTTACCTCAACAAAAACATACCTGGAGTTGTGCTTTCTTTCATTCAAACATAAGTAATCCTGGATTATCAGTCTGTCTGCATCTACAAAAATCAAAATAATCTTCCACCTTGTGATGTCATGAATTGGTAGTTTTCAGGATAGCAGCTACCTTT